TAGCCCCTTTTAGTAGGGCACCTAGAATCATAAGTAGGTAGCTAGTACTACTATATAGATTGATAGTAATTATTAGAAAGTACAGTCCTTAGCGGCTGTACTAGATAGGGCTAGTCACATAATTTGGTCATGTGACCTACAGCTAGGAACTCCAAGTTTAGGAGGATTATATATCGCTCTAGATAATCAACTTAATTAACATATTGGTTCCTACTACCTACCTACCTTATAGACACCTTCCGCTACAGCTATACCTATATAAAACTGTTATTAGGACACCCTTTCAGGGACTTAGTAGAACAATTAAGCCTTATACAAGTAATCCTTATATATTATAAGATTATTAAGTTATAGACTTAATATAGTAGTAGAGCTAGTCTATTCGATTACTAGTCGTTTAGGTATTCGTATATATAGACGTTAAGCTATAAGAACGGGTATCGTTCGATTGTCGCGTTATACGAGCTAGTTCTAGTATTATAAGGTACTCTTTTAGATTTAGTAGATTTAGCTAGAGTTAAACGACGGCCGCGACGCTCTAGTTACTCCGGTTAGTCTAGAAAAAGATATTATAGGTAGTCCGGAATAGTAATAGTTAGGCCTTTAGCTTTAGTACTTTATGTCGCGTTATTACTATTAATATCGCGCGTTAAGTCGATTTCTACGCGTATAGTTAAGGTAGTATAATCTAGAGCGCTATTCTTAGCCGCTATTAGCTTATAATCGTCTAAATCTTCGAGGAATTTATTCTTATAGAGTGCCTAAGGCTATGTTAAAAGCGGAGGCTCGAAATCTATAGTAGTATTAATATATTAAGGCGTACTAGGTAGTATTAGACTCGTAAAGCTAGAAAATATAAAGGAGTAATATTAAGCGGGAGTACCCGCTAATAAAATCTACGTAGGCGTACTACGTTAAACGCTATCGTAAAGACCGGACGAAAGTATTTACTAACAGTACGCGGTAGACAGTAATATTAACGTTATAGGGTAGTATCTATAGTATATTCCTACCGTACTACGTAGTACCGAGCGATTCCTAAGCACTCCTTAATACTGCCGTTAGGAAATGCATATTCATATACAAAACAGGTAGGGGTAGGCATTATCTACGCTTAGTAACTGGGGTCCGGCCGGGTTGCTGGGGTCCGCGAGGTAAAGCCCTGTCAACAGCCCGAGCCTTCACGCGGCTGCTGCATTAGCCAATCCCGCCTAAATCTCGATTCATGGTGCGCCAAGTATTGAAAGGCCTGCCCGTCAAATCGTCCACCGTCGCCATCAATCCTCACTCACGCACCATGTAGCGCGCACGCACCAACGTCGATTCATTACTTACCTACCTGGTCATCATCACCGAGGAAAGACAATATCAACACCACCGACCACCCCTACCCGTGCTGTGCGTGTGCAGTGCGCGCTCGACGTCGTGCGGCCGGGGAGGAAGATGGATCCCATCGAATCCTTCATCTCCCTCTACAACGACCTCAACCCGCCCGCCATCGACCAACTCGTCTCTCCACCCACTACCCTCCAGTTCATGCGATACGTCGCCCGAAACAGGCCCTTTGTCGTCAGGTCCGGTGCCAAGCATTGGGCTGCGGTGAAGAAGTGGGATGCAAGCTATCTACGCCAGAAGTTGCAAGGTTTACAAGTGAGAGTTGCTCTTACGCCCCAAGGGTAGGCCATCCACCGAGGCTTTTTCTCCCTCCCATAGTCGATGCTGAGCGCGCAGAAACGCAGATGCTGTCGTCCAGGACGAAGGTGGAAGACTCTTGTTTGCCGAGCCGTATGAAGTGCAAGAACCATTCGGAGACTTCCTCGACTACATCCAGAATGGCGCCTCGGAAGAGCAAGAGGCCGTGAAGTATGCACAGCCTCGTATGTCTACGACAAACTTTGACAAAGCGTACGCATCAGACTAACAGCAGCTTACTCATCAGAGAACGACAGCCTCCGCTTGGAGTATCCCATCCTCTTCCCAGACGTTCCCGATGACATATCCTTCTTCACCCAAGCACTAGAGACGGAGATCGATGGCATCAACTTCTGGCTCGGCAATGACCGCTCGACTACCTCCTTGCACAAGGACAACTACGAGAACTGCTACGTCCAGATCCGAGGCCAGAAGCACTTCACCCTCCTCCCACCAGTCTGCATGCCCTGCGTGAACGAGACGGCTCTCCCTTTCGCCAGGTTCGACCGAAGCCTCAACCCTGCCATATCCCCAGGCGAGCCCATCCCCGTTCCAATCTGGGACCCTGATGAGCCCCAAGCGAGAGCAACGAAATACTCCCCTCTCGCCCAGCCGCTCCGCGTCACCCTCCATGCCGGCGACATGATGTATCTTCCCGCCATGTGGTATCACAAAGTCCGCCAAGGTAACGGTCCCGAAGGCTTCTCCTGCTCCGTCAACTATTGGTATGACATGGACTTTTCCGGCCATTTCTGGACAAGCAATGCTTTCGTCCGGGACGTCCTCCACGCGAAGGCCGGGGAAGTAGACTACCCTGATCTAGACCTGGACTCCAAATGAAGAAGAACTCCAAATGAAGAGGAAACCCAAATGAAGAAGAAGTCCGAACGAAGAAGAAGTCCAAATGAAGAAGAAGTCCAAAGGAAGAAGAAGTCCAAATGAGGAAGAACTCCGAATTTCGAGGCTGGACTTAATTCTTCTGTGAAATATCAATCCCCAAATCCCGGAGTGGACTGATCTACAAGAGTACCGCACTCTGCTGGCTTCGACGAAGTGCCGGGACGAGAGTCCTACGCATCGAAAAGAGATACGGGACCAAACCCGGCCTTCGGATGCGAATGCAGCGAAGCAACAGCAATGTGATCTTGGCGGAAACGTCAACTGTAGCTTTATAGTCACGTCGACCGCACGAGAGATTGCAGGTATGGCTCTACCAAGAAGTAAATTGAAGTTCTTTGTGATGTCGGCCGTTAGTAATAGTCCGGACGACAGGAGCACTCCTTCCCAGAGAGAACACCTGAAGCCATGAATGCCAGAGTACTCTGTGATGTCCATCTAGAGATCCTGATTCTCTAGACTGGATCCACCGAGTAGCAGCATGCCAATCGGTGGGATGGATTCCAATGCCTCGGATGTTTCACACATCTGATGCTCGATGGAAGAAGACAATTAGACTCCTATGCCCGAAGACGCAGCCCTCCACTCACGGCTATATGCTGCTTTCCGACGCCCACATCGTACGCGGATATATATATACCAGGCAGTGCCTCTCATGGTCAAAGTCCGGACACGTTATCATGCTTGCCATCGGATAGCGTGATGTTCAGGAGCTGGTTCTGTGGACATGCATTGATAAAAGACCGTTCGTCCGCTTCTTGGGCTTCTTCTCGTAATGGCAATGCATGCTCTTTCAACAGCTCGACAACTCGCACGCCATTTCCCCCTCTCTGATGGGAATGATCTGGACGACTTCGAAGAAGTTCCCAACTTTTGAGCGAAAAGCTTTTGATCTCAACTCAATGTGATACATCGGAGATCTTTAGAATTCCTCTCGAACTTCCTGACCCATGCTGGAGCCAAGGCAGAGATGGATCCATCCAACCAAGTCTGTTGTTTTTGGGGGCATTGCATTACATTACATTACAATGCAAGCCAGCACTCATGGTGAAGCGATGAAATATGACGCTCCAACAGGACATAAGCACTGCTAGACCTGTCTCCACGTATTCATCATCAATTGAGAGAGTGATAGAGAGGAGGCCAACGTACGTCGTTCAGAACGATGCAGTCCTTAAATGGCCACCTCACTCATGCTATATGCTATATGCTATATAATGAAGACAGTTCGACGAGTTCCCTTCTTCTCTTCCATTTTCCTTCTCTTCTCGACTCTCGCTTCGGTCCGGCTTCCTTTCCACTCTCGCGGTGGCGCAGCGCAAGCATCCCCACCGCCCTTCCCGAACGACGTAGTAAATAGCACCTCCCATATCTTCTTGCCATCCATACCTTCCGCTCCCCAGTTCTCCAGGCAACTTAAATTCTTTCTTCTCTCAGCCTGTCTGTGGACGTCGGCTCGGGTCCCATCCAGCAACATCAACATCAACATGCATCCAGCGTGACGCAAACCCTCTTCGTCGTTGTTGATGCATGCATGCATTTGAGAGACTCGCAGTGGGGTTGGCATGTGAAGAAGCTTAGGAAGTGAAGGTGAAGGTGAATGTGAATGTGAATGTGAATGTCTACAGCGGGCTGTGAGTAAAGAGGTTGTGACGAAAAGGGGCATCACGCGAGGAGACTCGGAACAAACCAGAGGCTTGACGCGATAAGGGTTTATTAGAAATAATAAAAGAGCGGCGCAGAAAGACGTCCATTGTATTGGCACCGTGAAGCCAACTCCTTCGCTACCTCCAATTCCCATGCGTCCGATGTGAGCACATTCTCAGTCCCAGTGCCACTGCAGCTGCAAACCCGGTGGAGTCGCGCTGCTACCGCCGCTTTCACAGAAGACTTACCTTCCGAACCTGATTTCTTCATAGGGGGGTATCTCTCGGTGATTGTGGGTCTAGCTGCTGAACACTTCCGTGATCTTCTTGCCCGAACCGGAGTGCGCGACCGTCGTAGACACGTATCTTAGCGATCTACTCCGGGAGCTGCTTCAACTCTTCCGTGAAGGATGGCAGGCTCTGATCCACTGCATGGACCGGCGAAATGCATTCGATGCTCGTGTCCGATGGATGACGACTCCTATGGAATACTGGAAGCTGTCGAGCCTATTTCGGATGATGATGCATTCTGCGGTAGAGAGAGTGATTGAGCTTGAGGTGTTCTCGTAGCTGCAGGTTGCTGCGAAAGGAAGAAGAGGGCGGGAGCTTCGTCGGCGAGCATCGGTTTCAGCCAACAGAGCCGCAACTGTAGGTCAAGGCTGCATCCCGCTTGGAGAAGAACGGTCGGCAGAGGCCTGAGTGGAGAGGGTAGGGTGTTCGAATGAGCCAGACAGCCTGATATTGGCACCCGTTGCAAGGATAGTGTCACATCATCCCCAGTATCTACGACTCGACGGTACTCGAGGTGCCATATTCGCGCAGCGCTTCTTGGGCCCACGGTTGCCGTACTACAGAGATTCAACATTCTACCGCTCTCGCTTTACCACCTCATCCGGGCTGATTCTCCCTCATCGCAAGACACGCGAGGCATTCTGGGCTGATCTTGACGATGCACCTGCACTCGCCTGTCCATCTCGTTTCGGAGGGGCCGCGGTCATGAGACTCTCCAAGCCCAGGTCCTTCCAGGCCGGCTCTCTGCTCTTATTCTGCGCGCGCTGGATACCAAAGGCGGCATGCTGATCGGGCACCACATCCTCATCGTCCTCCGGATTCATCGGCTGATGTTGCGGTGCGACATGGATCTCTTCCGAGGGCAGCTTGGTGCGGGTGAAGTCCTCGAGCAGATCGGCGTGGTGCGCGGCGTGGAGGTGGAGGTGGGTGAAGCACGAGTCTCGCGACTGCATTGTGGGTTGAGTTAGTGTTGTGCATGTCCTCAACGGCAGTACCTAGTAGGCGCTGTGTGGGAAGAGGAGACGGGAGTACGTACCATGTCGGGACGATCGTTTTCGGTAGGAGATATTCCGCCAAGCAAACCATTCGTAAGCTCCTCGCCTTCGCGTGTATGGCCGAGATGAAGCGTAGCTGGCTTTTTGCTGCTGATTTTCCGGACGGCACCAGGCGTATGTGCAAACGAATACCGTGTCGCAGAGTACTGTCGGTAGTCGAGGTGTTGTTATTTTATTTGCAGATTGCTCGCTCGAGAGTTTGCCTGTGCAGACGTCGCTTCTCTCGGCGCCGCGTTGGGGCGAGGGTGTGAGGGCAATCGCCAGGGGCTGCCGTGCCTTTTGACTTCTGCGAAAGCTACTCTCCACCACCACCTGCACCACAACTCCTCCAACACCCTCTCCCACAACTCCACCACCTCTGCTCCCCGCGCATCAGCATTGCCCGGATTCCATCGGTTTTGCGCCTTGCACGGTGAACATGCAGCGACAGTAGCCACTCAGCCTGCGTCTTGTCTCCTCCCTCGTTCCAGATCCCAGCCGCATTCTGCACATTCGAAACCTCCCGCTCAGGCACAACAAACCGCCAAAACACTCCCCGATTCCGCTCGGAAATACTCTACGACTGATACAACGCCCTCCACCGGCCCTCGAGGGCCAATTCCGCCATCATGGATATCGTCAAAGGCATCCAAAAACGCCTACCCTCGACCGACGATCTGCCCACGCTCAAGTCGCTCCAATTCACATCGCTCAAGGATGCCTCAGAAAAGGTCGCGCCGCGCCTGTCCTTCTTCCGGAAGCGAATACGTATCCGGCCCAACAGCAAGATCAGTATACCTCTCTATCTGGTCCTTCTCTTTCCCTGCATAGTCGTGATAGTGATACTATTGCTCTTTGTACGGCATCCCGCCTCCTCGGGAGGCAGGTTGATACCCTCGGGAGCGCCACCCAGCTATCGCAAGATCAGCGAGAAGCATGACAAGGTCTTCGTAAACGGCTGTCTGGATCCCAAGATCACCTCCAAGGAGCACGAGCGGATGAACGCAGCGTTCGTGGTGCTCGCGCGGAACAAGGAGTTGGATGGAGTGATTGAGAGCTTGAAGAGCGTGGAAAGACACTTCAATCGCTGGTTCCACTATCCCTACGTCTTCCTCAACGATGGGGAATTCAACAGCACGTTCAAGGAGACGGTGCAAAACTACACCAGCTCCCTCGTGGAGTTTGGTAAGATTGGACCCGAGCACTGGGGTTATCCAGACTGGACCAACGCCAACGTGGCCAAGGAGGGCATCCGGAAACAGGGCGACCAGGCTATCATGTACGGCGGCATGGAATCATATCACCACATGTGCAGGTTCTACTCTGGCTTCTTCTACAAGCACGAACTGCTGCAAAAGTACGAGTGGTACTGGAGAGTTGAGCCCGAGATCAAGTACTTCTGCGACATGACCTACGACCCCTTTGTGCACATGGCTCGCAATAACAAAACCTATGGCTTCACCATTGCCGTGAAGGAGTTGAAGGAGACGGTGCCAAACATCTTCAGGTACGCGTCAGCCTACAAGCGCACCCGCAATCTTACTTCGCAGGGACTGTGGGAGATGTTTGTGGAGCCAAAGGAAGGATACAACCAGGATGGCACGCCGAAGCCTGGCTTCATCCCACCGGAGGATCTGCCCAAGGAAGATCCCAAGTATCAGGACGAGAAGCACAAGCCCCTGCCCGAAGACATTCTCCGTACCGAGCCGGGTCGCGGAACTCTGCCCGACATTGACCCCGAAGCGATGGAGGGCGAGATTTACAACATGTGCCATTTCTGGTCCAACTTCGAGATTGCGAGGCTGGACTTCTTCCGAAGCAAAGAATATGAGGACTTCTTCAACATGATGGATCGCTCCGGCGGCTTCTGGATGGAACGAGTAAGGAGATTGTGTTGAACGAAAGTGTACAAGTACTGACAGGTGACCAGTGGGGTGACGCACCCATCCACTCCCTCGCCGCGGGAGCCCTCCTCTCGCCCAAGGACATCCACTACTTCCGCGACTTTGGCTACCGACACACGACCATTCAGCACTGTCCCGCGAACGCGCCAGCGCGCCAGCTCCCACGAGAGCCGTATCTCGAAATGACGACGCTCGACGAGAAGGCGCGCAAGGAAGAAGACGAGTACTGGGCGAAGTGGGACCCGGAGATCGAGAACGGCGTCGGGTGCAGATGTCGATGCGACACGGACATTGTTGACGTGGAGGGGAAAGAAGGAAGCTGTATACCTGAATGGGTGGAGATTGCGGGAGGCTACATCACGCCGCAAGGACCGGGATAGACGAGACCAACGCAGTATTGCTTAATGGCAGGAGGGCAACGGAAAGAGGGGGGCAAAGAGGGCGGGCGTTTACGATTTGAATACTTCTCGACAGATTACGTCTCGTTGCAAGCGACATCATGGTTCTGCACTGCATTTGGAGGGTGTTTTGGGAGGGACAATCCGTGGGAAATCTACCTTATCTGTACAGATCAATGCAGATGGCGAAGCATAGGTGCCAGGGGGGGGACTCTACGTAATGGGTTCCGAATCGAATCGAATCAAAAGATCTCACTCATCATCAGACTCTCACTGAGATAGATGTAGTGTGCCTCGGACGGGTGGTCGGTCCATCAAGGTCCAGGTCCATACCAGCTGCGAGACACTACCTTACATCCACCACGCCGCTTCCTTCCTTCCTTCCTTCCTTCTTCCGCAACGCTTCGATTTCCATTCGCCTCGCCTCGCCTCGCCTGCGCTTTGATGACCGGAGGCTTGTTCTTCCACGGACGGGTATATACACGCTAAGGACAACGATGCCGATGCCGATATGGAACCGGACGGACAGCAGCTCCTGTTAAAAAAGCTCGAATATCGGTACTTCACTCGCTTTCCCTCGCAACAGTCATCCTGTACTCTCGTCCGGTGCGCCTCACCTTCGCCTTCGCCAGTGGACTCGGCAAAGCTGTGCACGACAGGAACAATGCAGAAAGAAGATATCGCCTAGGGAGCTGCGATGACGGAGGCTGAAGCTAGGCTGCACGAGCTGTGTGCAGTAATTGAAGTCCGTCGTCCAGACCATCCCGCGGACCTGACTGCGATTGCGGGAGCCCTCCCTCTCTCTTCTCGCGGACGGAGATAAAATGGCGGGTGATGGCACGAGATGCAGCGGTGAAGTCACAGGTATATATATATATAAGAGAAGAGTGGCAGATTACGTTGTTTGTCTTTGTTGCCAAGCGCATAAAGCAACCATCACTCGACGCGGCTACCTACATCATCGTCATCTCATCGCCGAGCTCCAGCCATTGGACTCTCTCTCCCAGGAAGGAGGTTGCTCAGAAGGTAAACTCGGCTTGAGCAAAGACGACAAGTCCTCTTCTTCTGACAATACCGGCCCTTAGAAGGCTGTTACTGCTCCTCCTGAGAGCGAACCAGCCGGAAGCACACCAGCTGAGACCACCGCAGTTGAATCCACCATGTCCTCTGTGCCCAAAGAGATGAAGGCTGCGGTCTTGACCGGGCAAAGCCAACCCCTCGAGATCAAGAACGTCCCCGTCCCCGAGGCCCAGCCAGGCGAGATCCTGATCAAGGTCCACGCGTGTGGTGTATGCCACAGCGATCACCACGTCCTGGCTGGGGATATGGGTCCTCCGTGAGTATGATTGTCCGCAAGCTCTTCGAAAAACACCCTCATCTGACATGTTCTCCTAATCTCCCGCCTCGGCCACGAATTCGTCGGAACCGTCGTCCACGTGCCGTCGACGACGGAGAAGAATTGGAAAGTCGGCGACCTCGTCGGCGGGCCCGTGGCACGGAGGCCACGACTTCACCTGCAAAGCCTGCTGTCGCGGGCAACTGAGTTCCAGATGTGCGACAACAAGACCATCCACGGCGTCCTGCGCGACGGCGGCTACGGCCAATAGGCCACCCTGCCTGCGCACCCCGAAGCCGCAGTGCGGATTCCCACGACCGCCGACTCGGCCGCCGTCGCGCCCCTCCTCTGCGCCGGCGTCACCGTCTTCAACGGCCTCCGACAACTGAACCTCGTGGCTGGCGGGCGACACGGTCGCCGTGCAAGGGCTCGGCGGCCTCGGCCACCTGGCCCTCCAGTACGCGAGCAAGATTGGGTTTCCGCACCGTCGCGCTCTCCCGCGGCACGGCGAAGAAGGACTTCGCCCTACAGCTCGGCGCGCACGAATAACATCGACATCCAACAAGCCCACAAAGACGCCGGCGCGGCCCTGGCAATCCCTCGGCGGCGCCGCCTGTATCATCGTCACGGCACCCAACCCGCAAGTCATCACGCCCCCTCTCATCGCCGGACTCGGCAACCAGGGCAAGCAAACTCCTCCTCTTCACGGCCATCGGGCCCGTTCGGCACCCCTGGATACGGTAACCCATGGTTTACACTGAAGGGTTTCACTGAGGTCGTGCACGGCTGGGGCCGAGCGGGCGCATGCGAATGACTGCGAAGAGGCTATCGCGTTTGCGCACACGCAGGGCGTAAGCTGGTTCTGGTGGAGCGGTTCCCCCCGCTGGAGCTGGACCAGCGCGCGAATGAGGCGTTGGGGTGTTATGTTGTCTGGGAGGGTGAGGTGAGGTGAGGTGAGGGCTGTTTTGATGATGGATCCATTCGATGGGATTTGGAGGAGATGAAGATGAGGTGGGATGAGATGGGATGGACGGGGTTCTTTTGAGATGTAGAGGCGGGTGAGGATTTGGTAGATGAGATGGGAGGATTTTGTTTGAAATGTAGAGGGGGGTGAGGTGAGGAGAGTATGTAGTAGCAGATGGCCGCCACGATTTGAGAAATTTTGCAAGATTTCTAATTCAACTACGAACTACTCGTTTCATCTCTTCGTCTGTCTGTCTATCTATCAAGTCAAGTCCATATTACAAATAATACAAATCCATCCCAACAAGTCTCTTCTGCCTTCCTTTGAAGTAGGCAAGGCAAAGTCGGTAACATAGCTCCTCGACCAAACAATCCAGAAGGGGGGGTATCATAATACACATAAAAAGTACAATGTTCATTCCTGCCCAGAATCCATCTCTTTTGTTGTTTTTCTTTTGGACAACTCCAGCGGGCGGGGGGAGGGAAAAACCCCGCGCTTCAAAACAGAGCCACAATCCAGTCCTTCACTCAACGCATCACCGCATCTCAATAGAATCCTCCATCTTAACCGGCCTTACCCCCTCCATCGGACTCGGACTCTCCGCACCACCGGAACCCTCCCCGGCAAAAGGATCGACAGGCTTCCACCGGCGACTCGTATACGCGGGGACTTCCTCCATCATGCGTTCGACCTGCTCGAGGGTGAGGCCCTTCGTCTCGGGGATGAAGAGGTAGGCGAAAGCGGCGGAGAGGGCGCAGGTGGAGCCCCAGACGAAGAAGACCTTGACGCCGAGGTCGCCCTTGTCCGGGTCGACGAGGAAGGGGTGATGAGGCCGATGAGGCAGTTCAGAACCAGTTGGAGGCCGTGGAGGGCGACGCCCACTTGGGCGCAGGGGAGTTGGAAGATTTCGCCGATGAGGACCCTATTTGGGGGAAGGAGGGTTAGTAACTAGTGAGATGGAGAGAGGGGGGGATTGTGACTAACCAAGCTGCAGGACCCCACGACGAGGCGAAGAAGATGTAGATGCAGACAAAGACGATGAGGACGTAATTGGAGGCATGGCTGTGGGCGCCGCCCGCGACGCCGACAATGGCAATGATGAACTCGCAGAGACACATGGCGGCGGCGCCGAAGATGAGGATGCGGCGGCGGCCGAACTTCTCGATGGTGTAGAAGGCGACGGGGGTGCTGGCGACGTTGACGACGGTGGTGACCATGGAGATGAGGAAGGGGTTGCTGAGGCCGACCTGCTGGAAGAAGGTGACGTTGTAGTAGAAGATGAAGTTGATGCCCGTCCACTGCTGGAACATCTGCAGCGCGGTGCCGATGAAGATCTTGCGGATGTTGCTGTTGGAGTGGCGGATGCCGCCCGTGAAGCAGCCCTTCCAGCTGACGGCGCCCGTCTGCTGCTCGTACTCGCAGTTGGCCACGATCTCGGCCAGCTCGTCCTCGATGTAGCTGGAGTGCGGCGACTGGCCGCGGACTCTCGCCAGCGCTCGCGCGGCCTTGTCGAGCCGGTTGTGCTTGACCCAGTATCGGGGGGATTCGGGCAGGGAGAAGAGGGCGACGCCCAGGATGAGGGCCCACAGGAGTTGGAGGGCGATGGGGATGCGATATGCGGCGGAGGTGGTGCCGTCCTGGGTGGCGTAGCCCACGCAGGCGGCCATCATGATGCCGATGGTGATGGCGAACTGGTAGGCGGAGACGATGGCGCCTCGTACCTTGCGCGGAGCCACCTCGGACATGTAGAGGATGTTGACGGCGCAGACGCAGCCGACTCCCAGCCCGGCGACGAATCTCCCCACGGCCAGGCCGACAATGTGCTTGGTGGCGAGCTGGATGATGACCCCGACGACGAAGACGCCGCATCCCGGTCCGATGATGGTCGTCCTTCGACCGATGCGATCGGCCAGGTATCCACTGGCGAGGGCGCCGACGAAGGTTCCGGCGGAGAGGATGGAGACGACGAGTGACTTCTGCCAGGTGTAGTAGTTGTAGGGGAAGTCGTCGGGCTCGCTGGCGGGGACGGGATGTCCGTAGTCCTGCTTGAACTGGTTCATGCCCAGGACGGAGCTGATGTAGCCCGAGTCGTAGCCGAACAGCACGCCGGCAAAGGCAGCAGAGGCACACATGAGGTAGGCCTTGAAGGTGACGGGGGCCTCGATCCTCTCGCGGGAGGGCTTGTTGGGCTTGGGAGGGCCGAGTGGGGGCGTCCGCGAGGCGTGTCGACGATCCATGATGGTCGGCGGAGGCTCAGCGGGCTCAGCGGGCTCATCAGGATGGGGAGGAGGGACGTCTTCCAGGGAGAGGACTTCTTTGAGGGAGAGCACGTCTTTCAGTCGACCGCAGCGGGAAGACGTGGGCTGGCCATGAGGATGAGGATGAGGATGAGGATGAGGATGAGGATGAGGATGAGGATGATGAGGGTCCGGCGGAGGCATGCTGCGCTGCGGATGGCGAGGAGAGCAGACGCAGACGCAGACGCAGACGCAGACGCAGCAGCAACGAAGACAGACGTCGTGCGCTGCGCTCGCTTGTTGTGCTGCATCTGGTCTGGTGCTGAGGCGAAGGTTGGAGCATGTAAAAGAGGAATGGAGTCCAGTGAACTCTCGCGGCTGGTCAACGTCGATCGGCGGCAGGATTCACATTGATGCTACGGAGACCTTGCATTAGCCGCCGGGTTTGGGTTTCAACTTTCGAAGCTGATGATGCGCGAGTCGAGCTTCATGATGATGAAGAACGAAAGCAAAAGGACGCGAGAGTCGTAGATAGATAGCCTTTCTTCATCTCGCAGTAGTACTCACACACTGACTAACTCGCAGTAGACACGCGCACGCCACGCCAGACGGGATCGTGCGTGTAAGAATAATAATAACAAGCGGTGATGCTCTGCTAAACAATACCATACCGTATTATAGCTCCAGCACACGCACGCATGCGGACTAGAGTAACGCCCATTGACATTGCCTTCCACCTCGCTGTACGCAATCGACAGATTCGTCCACCCGCCATCCTCTTACCCAGGATGCGCACCAGCATCGACCCAGTACATCATCATCATAATCATCATAATCATCATCATCATCATCATCATCATCATCATCATCATCATCATCATCATCATCATCACCACCAAAAGCCCTGCCTGACACTGCAGCCTGAAGACGGATGAGAATTGTTTCAAGATATCTCTCCCCGCCACCTCACTGGTCCGCGTCGTCCCGTTCCTGCATCAGCATCAGCGACCCCGTTTCACCCCGACCGAATCAGTACATCGAAGGTACGTACCATCAATATACATACCCGTCCGCTCCTTTCGAGACTTTTACCTCCCATGTCAGTCTACCGTCGCTTCATTTCAACATCTCTTTTTACCCGTGGGTTCCCGGCTCGAAAGCGGCACTGAAACGGAACTGCTCCAGGGCAGGGCCGCCTGGAGGTGAGAAGAAGCCGGAACCAAACTCAATTCTTTCTCTCTCTCTCTCTCTCTCCCTCTCTCTCTCTCTCTTTCTCTCCGCCATGAAAAATCCACAAACGGCCGGAAGTCTCAGGATCCTGCTGCTGCTGTTGTGCTCTTTGAGAGAAATACACCCTGCTCTGCTCTGTCACCCCGTCGAAGGATGCAAAACTGTCGTCGTCGTCGTCGTCGTCGTCGACCATTACTGCTCCACAGTCCAACTGTATGTCATCCTCGGGTTAGAGCATCCGGCAAGATATCGTAAAGCTTCTTCGTGGTATCAGGCCTCTGTCCGTTTTGAAGCAATAACAGTATCTGCGAGTCTCTCCCTTTCCTTTGGCATTGAGAGCGAATTCGATCGACGTCCTGGCTGGCGGGCTGGCTGGCGGGCCGTGAAGTCTTGGCTCGTGATGGGCCAACTTGGCCGTTCCCCCATCTCATCCACCAGGTGCCCGTCCGAGGATGTCGGGGAGAGAGAGACAGAGAGAGCACTGACGTGCTGCCCAGCGATACTTCCTAGACCCGCACAAGCAAAGCAAAGCAAAGCAAAGCAAAGCAAAGCAAAGCAAAGCAAAGCAAAGCAAAGCAAAGCAAAGCAAAGCAAAGCAGGCAAGCGACAGACGGGATGATGCAACCTGAAGATCCTCGAAGCCTCATCGTCGAGGTATTGCTGCTACTACCTACTCTCCTCTCGCTCGACCCGCGGGAGCGTGGATGCGCGGCTGGCTCATCTCGGATCTCTCTCTCATCACGACAAGTTGGTGGGCAAGTAGACTTTTTGGGGTGGTAGGAGTCTTTCCTACTCCTAGTCCTAGTCCTACTCCTAGCATTCCAACCAAAGGCAAGGTAGAGCAATTCTGAGACAAACACTCCTCGAGCCTAGCTTTCTTCTACACTATCTCCGTACCGACCACCTCTAGCTCGGCACGCACGAGGAGGAAGGGAAGGGAAGGGAAGGGAAGGGAAGAGCTCCATCCCTATACATTCCATCAAGCAAACAGCCTCTCTTCCACATCCTCACCTCTCTCTCTCTCTCTCTCTCTCTCTCTCTCTTCCTCTCCAAGACCTCACCCCAACCTCAGGAAAAAAACACACTTGCCAAATAGATAGATAGAGTAATTGATAGATAGCTTGATAGTTAGATAGATAGATTGATTGATTGACGAATTGAAAAAATCTCCCCAACAAACATCATCGACATGAATCTGGTTCCTCTCCAATTCTTACTCGCTACATCAATAGATACCTGGTATAATAAAAAGGGGTGGGGGGGGGGGGGTGGGGTTGAGAAACCCCCACGCCGCGCGCGAGCCTTCTTCTTCCCTCCTCTCCGCGGGCAGAGTTCAGTCTATATGTACACACTAACTAGATATGAGATTCTCTCTCTCTCTCTCTCTGCCCAAATACAAACATCAATAATCGGACCATATAACTAGCAGTGAGAATGGATGCAATCAATGCAGCCCTTTCAAAAAAAAAAAGCCGAAAAAGATAAAAAAGGAAAGACCAAAAATTAAACATGGGGAATCCTGTTTCCCAAAAACTCCCCCAGTCCAAAGGGTCCTTCTTGTTCTCTTTCATCCCAACGCTATGAACGCTCAGTAAACAGGTAGAAGCTCGGAAGCGGTACAGGGATAGGAGATTGGGGGGGTGGGGGCCGTCGGTGAGTCAAGTATGTCGTTAAGAAGAAGAGGGGCAATTCAGCCTAGGCCGCGCTGGATGTCCAGGCCTTCCAGTAGCTCTTGAGCACGTGGAGGACCTGTCGCTGTGTCATACCGTCCTCGCATGCCGTCTGGAGGAATGTGCCGTCATGCAGCTCAAGTACAACCGAGTTCGGGAGCTCCTCGCTGTCCACATCGGGCGCATATGGCTGCTTGAACTCGCCAAGGGGGTATTGCTTGAGTGCAACGCCTTTGTGGATCTCCATGGCCTGCGCGATGGCGAATTGGAGGTGGCCGGTCTCATCAATGGTGACGATGCGTCGTTTCCAGAGCTGGAGAGTGTCAGTGTGGGTGCTTCTCCCGTGTCTTGTCTTCGTACGATAACTCACCAGTGAATCTGGGAACTGCACGTTCAAGTCACCGACAACCACCGCCGGTGGCATGTCGAGCTTTTCGCCAGCCGAGCTTCGTCTCTGAGCTGCCGGCTGTGATGCACGGGAGGTCTCGGTGCTAGCAATGCTGGCAAGGCTCGTAGTGCTGGCCCCTGATTGAGCTCCGCTCTTCCTTTTCGTTCCGCCAAAGGTGCTCATGCGTTTGAAGAAGCGACTTGTCCGACCGCCTTCCTTATGGGGAGCGACATTCTCGTCGTTGGAGGCATTCAAAACGACAGGGTTGCTCGCGCTGGACATACCTCGGCTGGACGGCGTTGGAGCGAACTCATCGAGACCAGAGGTGGGTGTCGAGCCTTGTCGGTGCCTGCCGAGTCGAGTCGCCGCCGCCGAATGCATGGTCCGTACCTCTGCTGGGAAGCGAGCCAGAATAGGAGAGATAGCCGGCGACGTCATCGCCGAGTTGGCCTTGGATGTATTGAGGGACGAAGGCGCATCTTCGACACTCGGCTCTCGCTGATGGTTGATTGTGAGCTCGGATTGTTGAAGCTGAGCTCCGTCCGGATTCCACTCGTCGACAGCGGCGGGCCGGACGATGCGTGCGGTGACAGACACGGAGTTTCTGTTTGTCAGAGGATCATGCTGGACATTCCAAGACGGACTCTGACCAACTTCACTACCTGTGCCCGCTGTAGCCTGGTTCATGCGATTGCTACTGTGTCTCCTGAAGGAGTTCGGCCGAGACCAAGACGTGCTCCTCCCAGAATGCTCCGCATACATGGCTTCCCGACTCGACTTCTCCGCCAGAGCTTGAATGCGTCGTGATATTCCAGAAGACACATTTCGCGAGTAGCTCGAAATTGTGTCGCCCGTCTCGAATGGAGGAGTCGAACAAGATCTCGCGGGATGGCCAGCCTCGGGGGCTGGAAGATCTGGCGTCGCAAGCCTTTCTACCGGCATGTTGTTCGTTCTGGTGATGTTAATAGGCCTGACGGAAGCCGTGTCGAAGCTAGGCCTGCGATCGAAAGCTCTTGGAGTGTTGGGCGACTTGGGGTTGGAGGATCGTGATACCAAGATTGGTCGCGCTTCTTGAACTTTGGCGCTGTGCAGTTCGTCCAAGAAGTCTTCATCGTCCGAGACAAAGTCGTCTGGATTCCCAGAGTTGATCTCGAGCTGGAGGGGTTCGACATAGCCGCGTCTTCGCTTCGTCAAATCGCTGTTCTGCCGTCTCAGTGACACTGGCGCTTCCAATGTTTCATTGATTGACGGCGCCTCGCCCCCTCGCCTTGCAGAAGACGCTCTCGATGATGATGCCTTGCGCTCCCTCACTTGACCATCAGAAGTCAGTGGCCGCGACCCTTCTGCCACGACGATTTGCGGTACCGCGGCCGCCTCGTCCTCATCCTCATCCTCCTCATCTGCCTCTGGCTGCTCCGCAGGCTCAAAAGGCTCAACAGGCTCAGCAGACTCAGCAGACTCAACGGGCTCCGCAGGCTCCATAGGCTTCTCGCTTTCCAAAGTCGACGTTTCGCCGGCCTGTGCTACGGCTTCCACGGGCTCTGCGGGTTCCGGAGCCTGCTCAACATTCGCAGTGAGCTCTTCCTGGGCTGCACTACTCGTGTCCTTTTCGTATGGTTCTGAAGAATCCGCAGCAGGCTGTGACTGCTTCGTGTCCACCCATTGTTGCTCCGTTCTTTGCCCCTCCGCTCTCGTGTACTGCATTTCGATGCCCGAATCGGCCTTGGCGGACTGAGGATGGGTCTCGTCATCGATCACACGCGCGGAACCGAGATTTCCTTCTCCATTCATATTCTCGAAAGGCTCGGGCTGCAGAGGTTTGCGCACCTGCGGAACGTCCGGTACCTCCTCATCGGCGGGAGGCTTAGCCTGCTTGTTCTCCTGCGACTTTCGTAGTTGTCGTTTCCGCAGCTCGAGGGCCTTCATGAGGCGTAACTTGTCAGGAGTCATCATGGTCTTGTGGGATTGTGTAGACTTGACGCTCCCGCGAGAATTCGGTCTAGCTTCGTACTCTGGTTCGTGTGGGATCGGGGGAGGTGCCGGGATTGGAGTACTGACGGGCAGTGCAGTTGTGGATACAGAGGGCGGAGTAGGTGCGAAAGGTATTTCAAGCGCTGCTGGTTTTGGACGAAGCTGGCCCTGCCGCTTGCTCCCTGGTTTGTAGTGGGCAGGCAAGGCACACACACGAGCAGTTACGGGCCGCTTGGTCTTCTCCGCGGAAGTCACAGGCCGCGGTCCCAATTTCGGCTTGGGTGTGAACATGCTGTCGTAATACTCTTTCCAGTCGAAATCGTCTCCTTGCGCCGTGGGAGGAGCAGACTTGACCGGGCGCTCTTCAACAACGGTCTGTGCCGTTCTTTCCGTCTTCTCGACTTTCTCGATTCGCTCAGAAGGTTTGGGAGGCGGTGGTGGCGGAGATTCCGGCAGTGCTGGAAGCTCACGGTTGCGCAGATCGCGTTGTTCTTCAATGTCTTTTCCGGGAGGCTTTGGGGATCGCTCGAGGGAAGTCTGCACTTCGGTATCTTTTCTGGGAGGTTTGGGGGGTTGCTCGGGAGAACTCTGCACTTCAGTCGCGTCTGTCGTCTCGCCCGCATCTTGAGTTGTCTGAGAGGCGGAATCCGGCACATCGCTTGCTTTTCGCGTGGAGTCGGCGCTTTTGGTTGAAATGTCAGAATCTCTGTGCTCGTGGGCAGATGTTTCGGCGAACGATGGCTTCAATGGTGTTATCGATGTTCGTCCCGACTCTTCGCGCACCAAGAACTGAGACATGGATGGTTTCTGGGATGGTGCAGCGGATAGCGGATGCGAATCCAGAGCACCCCCTCGCGGAAGCTCCGTGTTCAACGAAGACTTGCGCTCGGTGCGATCTGACCTTCGTCGTAACATGTCCGACCTTCTGTCCGGCTTGATCCGCTGTGCACTCGACAAGTTTGTTGAAGATGGATTCGCACTGGATGGGAGTGCGGCGGGATGCCCACCATCTTCTCCATCTTCGCAAATCTCGTCGAGACGTTTGGTGGAAGGGGAAGGAGAGGCAGTGTGTAGGTGGAAGGATGCGGCGAGCGCGGTGTCGTTCAGTCCCTCGCCGGTCGTGATATCGAGCAATGTTTCGTAGGGGGAGTAACGTTCCAGAACATCCTGAAAGTGCACCGCAGTGCGGGCTGTCCCCACACGTCAGCCTTCTCGCTGTGGAGGCGCAATGCGCTCGCAGCATACCTTGTAACAGTCGCGATGTCCCTTCAGGGATATACTTGATCAAGATCTTGCGTCGCCGGTATATTATGAGTCCGTAGAGAGGAGAGGGCTCTTTGTATGCGATGATGGTGTTGCGGGCTTCGGCGACGCCATTCTTCCCTCGCCCCAGCAATTCGACGGCGTCTCTCGAGACGTACTTCAACAGGAACCTGCCGCACGTTCAACACATGTCGGTTTCGGGAGACGGTTCATGTATCTGAAACTCACCATCCGCCGGCCTCACCCACAGCCGTCTGGTAGGCATCTTGAACGTCGGGGGTGTCGAGGCCATTGAGCGACATGGTGGCGGCGCGCTCTGGGAGGGCTCTCCCGCCTGCCTAATCTCTGGCAGCTGGGCGATCCCGAAGGATTATCTGGGAGGCAGTGTCGCGGGCTGCGTCCATGGGCGGCGCATGAGAGATGGACCGACCTGTCGCACATGCGGCGTCTCACGAAACGGCGGGCGGGCGGGCGGTGGTGGTGGGTGAGAGGTTGGTGGACACGTCGAGGGAGGTATGCAGGTCGACGTGACGGTAGCGGCGCGGGAGGGTAGTTGGGGAGGTCTGTTGTGTGTGTGTGTGTGTGGTCGTTGGCAGAGAGGGCGACAGGCGAGTGGTAACACAGTGGGTAGAGTGAGTTCAGATAGCACAGTAAGGTAGAGTTAGACTCTACGCCATCACCCTGGCCGATCCCTCTCCCTACTTACCGCGCAGCCTCCACCGTCCACCGTCCACCGTCCACCGTCTGCACACCTCCCAATCTTCCACACCACACTCCACCCTCCTATCCATCACCCTCTTGATTACTAGCCTCTGCCACGCCGCGCGATCGGCGGCTCGGACAGGCACAGGTCACCATCCCACGGATTCGCGTCGGCGCCTGTGCTTGTGCTTGTGCTTGTGCTTGTGCTTGGCCGATCAGACCAATTCGAGCACTTGTCCAGGTCATAGCCTCAGAGGCCGAACAGCGGCTTGAGACGACCACAGTGCAGCCCAGACATCCCCCAAGGCCATGTCTCCCGAGGCCGTGGGATCTGCCCTCTGGAACACTTTCCGCACCAAATCCACACGGAGCGGAGCGCAGCGTATCGTATACCTTAGGTCGGCCTACTGTGTACAGTACCAGGTAGCCGGAGCGTCGGCAGCAGGTGGGCCGCTCTACCGACGCATCTTCAGTGCTGTGGTGACACAGTGACACCTTCACGGCCCGTCTGTAACACCAGATCTCTGTGCGACCTGGGAGCGTGCGCTCGTGGCCTTCTGCTACAGGATGAGACTCGAGACGATGAGCTCTGGATCTACATAACGCAGGAACGAGCGCAGAGACACCAGACGGAGAACTGCTGGGGCCGGCCTACAGCGATATCAGCCAGCTACTATTACATGTATACATATGCATCACAGGTATGCATCGCATCATGTCGTCGAATGTCCGGAGATGCCGAATGGCGTTGAAAAAGTGCACCTTCCATTTCGAGGAACAACGAACGGCGCACCACGTTGGGCAGCCATCCTCCACCAGCATCGGTTCTCTTTCAGATGTTTCATGTCCTGTGACACGCCGAATGATGTTGGCCAGTCCACAGGATGATGGATAATGGATAATGGACGATGAACGATGAACGATGGACGACTGTTTGGGACAGTGCTATCATGGACCGTCGAAGAATGTATCTGGGTCGCGCTAGACTCGTCTGCCGGGCGGGAACATGTAGCACGGTAGTACCAAAGTACCTGCTTGCCGAAACGCGCCCGAGTCCGCCGAGTCAGCGGCTCAGAGCTTGTGCAGGCACACTTCACTACAGATACTGATAGCACATCTACACACACACACCAACATTGACCATTTGCAGGCGCGTACCTCTCTACCCACCCAAAGAATACAGGAGACTCTATTAAGCCTCGTAAAGTGTCGCTCTGACAGCCAAGACCACCTGCCTCCATCATGGCTCCGGCAAACTCGACCAACTTACCACCCATCGAAACTGTCCAGGGTCTGCCTACGCAAGACCGCGCAGCTATCCTGGACTTGCTCTTCGAACCGAGCACACAACTCCATACACTCTCAGTCCCACTGCTACAGGAGCAGGCCTTCGCATCCTACTCAGACCTCATAGCCGCCGTGGGCATTCAACTCACCGCGCTATCTGAATCTCCATCTCGCTCCGACACGGCCTGGCTCGAGGATATCATCGCATCACACCCCAGACTAGGAGCCAAGAAAGTGGAGAGTGCCCAATCTCAGGCCGAACAAGCCCAACTGCAAGGTAGCTACGAAGAGACCGAGCAGCTACGTCGTCTCAACGACGAATACGAAAAGAAGTATCCTGGACTGCGATATGTGGTCTTTGTCGATGGACGGAGCAGACCCGTCATCATGGAAGGCATGCGCGCGCGGATTACCAACAGCGATTTGAAGCAGGAACGGAGTGCCGCCATCAGGGTATATGTCTGAGACGCCTTCGTAAGGACTCCTCAGCTGACGCGGCACAGGCGATGTGTGAAATTGCGAACGATCGTGCTTCCAAGTTGACATGATAATTTGCAAGGATCCGACCTGCTCGCCATTCATGGATTTCCACGACTGCTTCGATTCCTCGATGTTAGCTCGCGTGGTCGGGATAGCACAGACTTTGGCCATAGCCGGTGGAGTCGGGTAGACGCCGAGTCTCCTTTTCGATCTCGCTGACATTCAAAACACTCGGTCTCAGCTCTGTCGTGGCCGATCAATCTGGGATCAATCCAAGGTCTGGACTTGATGCGTATGAAAGTCCATCACACCGCAGGTAGTATCATAGGCACTTCCCCTCAGACTAGAGTTTGAGTCTGTGCAGAAGACATCGCTTTGCACCCAAGCAGCGCGGCTTCACATGGCCCAACCGTATGATCCAGAAACCCGCAAAATGTTCGTCATCACAAGAGAAGGCTCTGGAACGAACCCTCACCGAAGCAAATTCCAAGTCTCAAAGCCATCCTCTACTAGCTTGCTCTCTCCATCACGGACAGAAAGGCGTTTACACCTCCACGCAGTGAATGTAGCGCGATCAAAGGAAACATGCTGCTTGCTAGTTCAACGAGAAACAATCAACCACCAAACAAACAAATATCCACATCCCAAGAGCAAAGCACTCCCTCTGCCATCTCTGTACAAATATCGCCCTCCATTATTGATACTCACAGGCTCAGGTAGGTCACAGAAGCCAAACATTCGTCCTTGCACATGTCCGAACAGCAGAAGAAGAACAACCCACCACCACAACAACAACAACCCAACTCCAACCCACCACCACCACCACCGCCAGCACCGCCCAACCAGAACCCCTCCAGAGGACTCACCACCAAAACCCCCCCAGCACCCTCTTCCCCGCCGAACACTCAAGAAGCCAGCCCCCCGACATCCACATCCCAGTCCCCAGCAGCAGCAGCCGCAGCCGAGGAGGAATTCGAAGACGTCGATCTCTCCGATCCCCCGGCACCGCTGGCGGCGGCAGGAGAGGCAGAGAGAGAAGAAGAAGAAGCGGATTATGAAGTGCTTGAGCAGAGCGATGCGCCGCATTCGTCGTATAACTCGCAGGCGGATCATGGGTTTAAGTATGAGGGGTTTGATGATCGGGAGGGGGAAGGGAGGGGGTAAGGGAAGGAGGGTGAGGGAGGTGAAATAGAGGAGGAAAAGGAGAAGGAAAAGGAAAGCAGATAGGCGGTTTCGAATCACTTTTCCGATTTTCGTCTTGCCCGGCGCTCTCGTTGCATGAAGTCTAGAACCCCTTCACCTTGACCAGATCATTCATCACCATATACCGACTCACCCCAATCCACCCCCATCGAAACCACCGCATCTGACTCTTATGCGCCGTCGTCATGGCCAGCTGCGCCCGTCTGAAATCCCCCGGCGAACTGACCGCCAGCAACGGCGTCGGGAATTCCCCCTGTTCCTTGCGCGCGAACAGCGCCGTGACGATCGTCATCAGGCAATCCAGAATACTGCTGTACTTCCGCAGCACATTGGTCGACGTGAGCGTGTACACCTTCACCGGACACTCCCAGCCTTGCCTGCCCGCCATGAGAGTCCGGACGAAAGCCACGGCGCCTGCGTACAGCGAGCGATGGTTCGGATGTCCCGATACCCCCGCCCGGTCGAAAGTCAAGAGGACATCGATCTTCGCCGCCGCCGGCTCCTCGCTGCTCGTCGACATCGGCGGCGCGAAGAACTTCATCAACAAATTCGAAACCTGCCGCTCCTCCCATTCCACACGCATCGAATCCGGGAAATGCTTCTCATCCTCCACGACGACGACATGCTCCGCACTCCGCAACCCAAGAAGAATGGCACTCTTCTCCAATTCCGCTTTGCGGATCGGACCCAGGCCTTCCGCGTTGCCGGCGCTCAGGCAGAGGATGACGACTTGGTTTCCGAGCGCGGGCTGCGTGAGGGCGCGCAGCGTCGGGGCGAAGAACATGGCCTCGTCGTCCGGGTGGGCTATTAAGAGGCAGATTCGCTTGCCGCGGAGCTGCGGGAAGGAGCGCGTCATGTAGGCTGTGAAGAGCCAGAGGGCGAGGATGGTCGCGGGGATTTGCGCCGCGAGGAGCCAGTTCATCTTGGATGAGGAAGTTGTTGCTTTGTTGCTTTGGGGGTTTGGGGTCGTTATTTCCGGTTGGTTTCTGTCACGGGCGGATGAAGGAGATGCGGCTTTTGTGTTATCTTGCTGTTCTTGGGGGATACATGTTCGATGTTGTTTTCTTTGGCAAGAGTAGCCCCGCCTGGTAGATAGTCTCTCCTCTTGGAAAGGAATCTGGAAGTCGGGTTGTCTGAGGTCAAAAAAGTCTGGATCGGCAGGCAGCCCACGCCCATGCTCGGTTATACGGCGGCAGGGATCCGTTGGAGCGGTACGACCATCATCACAACAACAACGACACAAAAGATATTCGAGATACATGCACTCTACGCACTCAGAAACACATTCACATGCCATTCATATTCTCATATTAATTGTGGAGCTACATATACTGCTCCATAACGATCTCGATGCCTGGACCACCTCGCTATGCTGGATTAGATTCCTGTTCAAAACGACGACAACAGCGCCACATTCAATAAATCGATCCCGAAGCTCTTCTCACACCCGTCTGGTGATAGGGCGAGCCGCCGTATTCGCTCTCTTGGTAGTACGTTCCTCTCTTGTCGTAGTCTTCGTAGACTGGCGTAGGGTCCTTGACTTCCCAGTTGTTCTGTTTTTGGCCAACTGAGAATTCGAGGTCCTCGCGCGTGATGAAGTCCCAGTACTGTGATGCTGTTAGAACTGGTAGGAACAACGCAAAAGCTGCCCTTTCTCACCTTGTAGACCATCATCACCGCCAACAGGTTCAGCAAGGTCGCGAAGAAGAGGCCATCCAGGTAGTGATCCACATTGTTGCAGATGGTCTCGCTGAACGCGTACAGCAAGACTTGTCCGATCACGAATGCGAAGACACCAAATCCGATATGCCACAGTGGCCATCTTTCATCCAGCGTTCCGAGCACAAGTATGACCTGCATGACCACGTACACAAACAAGAATAATGCGCTGAAGATGTAGACCACGACAAAGACGCCGACAGTGTTCTCCGGCCCAAGACCACCCCATCCCTTGAACGTGAGAAGCGAGACGGCGAACGAGATGAGGAACATCGCAACGCTGCAAGTCCGCAGTAGCCAGACCGAAAGCGTCGTACCGTCCTCGTAGAGCTGGAAACCGACAAATCCGTTGATCATCAGAGAGATGGCAGTCGCGGAGACAAATCCCAATTGTACAGCGACGAAATATGGATATGCGCCGCTGGCGGGTGGTACGACGCCGCAGTCGATGACGAGCGAGCACATTGTAAGGAGTGTGTATGCGTAGAAGAACGAGGTAATCTCTTTCCGGCCTGTGTATCCACGTCAGCTACCATATTCTTCCCAAGCTCTTCTCTTCACTACAACATACCGACGGCCGTGAATTTACTCCGCACATGCAGGATCATGATAACCAGCATGATCAGGACCAAGATGTGCGCAAAGCCCGCAGCGCCTTCGAAGATGATGGTGTTGGCGACTTCGATCGAGCGCGCATAACAGTCGGACTGAGTGAAGTGGCCTCCTGTGATTGGGGAATCTGGTCCTACCAGAGGACACAGCGGGAGGGGTGTCTTTTCGCATATCGAAGTGAAGTCGCCAAAGGCCATGGTGAAGGCTTGCGACGCCCGTCGGCGTGTTTGTTTTGACGGGGTTCTCGCTCGTCGGTCGCGGTTCGATCGGATGGAAAGTCGTTTGTAGATGCTTCGCAGTCGTAGCGGGGTTTGAAGATGAGAGGTCGTGGACGGTGTGCCGTCCGATCGGATGTCGCCCAAACACCGGAAGGGAGGAGGAGGTTGCGGGAGAGACGAGGCAGACCAGGGATCGTGGCCGGGCTATTTTCGGATCCCCTGTTCGTTCTCGGCTGCACCAGCCGAGAGATCTCCAGGCACGAACTCGACTACTTCTTCCCTTCAACTTTGACGAACAAGACCCTCCAGCAACACAGGTGAATCGCCATCATGGCCGAATCTGGAAAACCGAAGAATCGCAAAGAGCGCCGCGCAGCAGCCAAAGAGTCCGGCAAATCCATCGAACCAGCAACTTCGACGCCCAAAATCAAAATGTCACATCCAGACTACTCCAAACCAAAGGGGAAGACATTGCTAGATATCTACGAAGAAAAGCGAGAATTGCTCGACAAAGGCCAACCTTTTGATCCCCAATATCAAGACGGCCTACCACGCGGAGAAAGCGGCAACATCCTCGAAGCAGGCCTCGGAGAAGGCGAACCCATAGGCCCCGTCGGCGATGCCGTCTTCTGGGCAGCCTGTCTCACCATGTTCCATTTCACGCTGGATGTGCTGGTATATAATCAATATGCACAAGAAATTGTCTGGTCGACGATATACAAGCGTACCGGGACGATTCTGCCGATTCTGTTCTTGGTGATTTACATGTCCCGGACAAGCCTCGCGAAGCGGTTAGGACTTTTGCGACAGGTACTCTTCCTCGGGGTGGCTGTGGGATCTGGATGCTATTTGATTCACGCGGGGAACAATTACGATTATTTGGCGGTCATGAAGCAGGCGCCGCCGCTGGGGACGGTTTGGGTTTATAGTGTCATTGAGATGGATTTGGCGTTTGCTGCGTCGAGCTTGGTTATTGATGCTGGGTTTCTGTTGTGGAACGGATATTCAGTGTTCTGAAGAGACCACGTAGGGCAGAATATGCAGGCAAGAGTGACAAATTGTAGCCATCCAGAGCGGACTTTGACGCTGCGAATTCGACCTTGAGGCAACTGTCTACCAGCCAACTTGGGTTTGAGACCAAGGGAATGGCGAAGAACCAGTAAGCGGCGTTTCTCTGACACCTTTCTGGCCAGTGCGAGCCTTGGGCTTCATCCGTTCGGGCGGGCATATCTACTGCGGACTCTAAGACAGTGTCCTTCCGAACTGAAAGAGGTCTTCCATCCCAAGCATCCGAAGGAAACAGTGGTCACAGGAAGTCTGACCGGAGCAAGCTTGCGATCATGTCCGTTCAGATGGACCTAGAACGTGTTGCGGCGCTCTGTCCGCAGTTGTCCATCAGAAGAGCCATAGAATGCCCTGAGCCTTGCAAGTGGCAGGGGGAAAAGATCCAAGTTTGGCAATACCAATTCTATCCCCTGGGGCTCTGTCATGCCATAGAAACATTCTCACCTCCAGTATGTGATTAGACACGGGGCTTATGGTGAGTCGTCCAGCAGCAGACTAGCGATCCGTGGACATGACCCATTGGAGCGACAATAGCTCGCATGCGATGAAAGACAACTGTGATGGGGCCAGAGAGCGGGGTTGTCGGCCAATCAGTGCTGTGGCATCAAAGCCGTGAAGAGACAACGGAATCTCCGGACAAATGTTTTGTTCTCCGCCGTTCTTGAGATGACTGTGGGCACGAGGAGTTGGAAGGCATCAGCTTGGCGGCAGCCGCTGGGGGGAGAGCTTTGTCGACTTGTTGAGATGCTGCATGCGTGAGAGGTACATCATACAGTAATTCAAACGCAGCATTTGCTTGTCATGTGTTGCACATGCAGTTTGCTACTGAAGATTGTTGTGATGTAGGTGTGAAAATGCCGACACGTGCGCCGAAGGCCCCGGCATGCAAGCACGTGCGTCCCCATGAAGTGGCGGCAGTTCCATTCTTGGCGGAGATCGACGTCATCGTAGAATGTTCTCATTGATGTTTCCACGACACGACGAGAAGGCTCATGAAGACGATATGGGGCTGCAGCGTTATCAATGAGTCGGAGACGTGAATAATTGATGGCATTGGTGACGCTGCAGTGGAGTCTGTACGCAATTTCCAGCAGTCGCGAGATGCAACCAGCAGATACGCGACGTGACTTCCCGATTCGATCAGTTTCGATTCTCGAAACTTCCACAAAATTTGTGACTGCTGAGGCCCAGCACAACCAACACCAATCCAACATTAAAACTCTCACCCTCTCCAGTGTTCCTGCTTCCACACAACAATAACACCTCTTCATTTGCGCGCACTTTGGGACTACCCCTACACCACGACACTTCTCTCCAATTCTTTTGATCCCCTCTTACACTCACGACAAACGCCAGAGACACAGACAACACATCAGACACCATGGCACCAGCTATCGGTATCGACTTGGGTACCACCTACTCTTGCGTGGGTGTGTTCCGAGATGACCGTATCGAAATCATCGCCAACGACCAGGGTAACCGCACAACACCCTCGTTCGTTGCCTTCACCGACACAGAGCGATTGATCGGTGACGCCGCGAAGAACCAAGTCGCCATGAACCCAGCCAACACCGTCTTCGATGCCAAGCGCCTCATCGGCCGCAAGTTCAACGACCCTGAGGTGCAAGCCGACATGAAGCACTTCCCCTTCAAGGTTATCGACAAGGCTGGCAAGCCCGTCGTCCAGGTTGAGTTCAAGGGCGAGCAGAAGGAGTTCACACCAGAGGAGATCTCATCCATGGTCCTCACCAAGATGCGGGAGACTGCTGAGGCCTACCTCGGTGGTACCGTCAACAACGCCGTCGTCACGGTTCCAGCATACTTCAACGACTCGCAGCGTCAAGCCACCAAAGACGCAGGTCTCATCGCCGGCCTGAACGTCCTCCGTATCATCAACGAGCCAACTGCCGCAGCCATTGCCTACGGTCTCGACAAGAAGACTGAGGGCGAGCGCAACGTGCTCATCTTCGACTTGGGTGGTGGTACTTTCGATGTCTCCCTGCTTACCATCGAGGAGGGTATCTTCGAGGTCAAGTCGACTGCCGGAGACACTCACCTTGGTGGAGAGGACTTCGACAACCGTCTTGTCAACCACTTCGTTAACGAATTCAAGAGGAAACATAAGCAAGTCGAAGACCTCTTTGCCCATGCGAATGATACAAATGCTAACAATCTTTGTAGGAAGGATTTGACCTCCAACGCCCGCGCTCTCCGCCGTCTGCGCACCGCATGTGAGCGTGCCAAGCGCACTCTTTCCTCGTCCGCACAGACTTCCATCGAGATCGACTCGCTCTTCGAGGGCATCGACTTCTACACCTCCATCACCCGTGCCCGTTTTGAGGAGCTTTGCCAGGACCTCTTCCGCTCCACCATGGAGCCAGTCGAGCGCACCCTCCGCGACGCCAAGATCGACAAGTCCTCCGTCCACGAGATCGTCTTGGTCGGTGGTTCCACCCGTATCCCCAAGATCCAGAAGATGGTCTCCGACTTCTTCAACGGCAAGGAGCCCAACCGATCCATCAACCCAGACGAGGCCGTCGCCTACGGTGCTGCCGTTCAGGCTGCCATCCTCTCTGGTGACACCTCCAGCAAGTCGACCAACGAGATTCTGCTGCTCGACGTTGCGCCGCTCTCTCTCGGTATCGAGACTGCCGGTGGTGTCATGACTCCTCTCATCAAGCGCAACACCACCATCCCAACGAAGAAGTCCGAGGTCTTCTCCACCTTCTCCGACAACCAGCCCGGTGTGCTCATCCAGGTCTTCGAGGGTGAGCGTGCCCGCACCAAGGACAACAACCTGCTCGGCAAGTTCGAGCTCACCGGTATCCCACCTGCACCACGTGGTGTCCCACAGATCGAGGTCACTTTCGACGTGGATGCCAACGGTATCATGAACGTCTCCGCTCTCGAGAAGGGCACCGGCAAGACCAACAAGATCGTCATCACCAACGACAAGGGTCGTCTGTCCAAGGAGGAAATCGAGCGCATGCTTTCTGAGGCGGAGAAGTACAAGGCCGAGGATGAGGCCGAGGCCGGCCGTATCCAGGCCAAGAACGGCCTTGAGTCGTACGCCTACTCCCTCAAGAACACCCTCTCCGACTCCAAGGTCGACGAGAAGCTCGACGCTGCCGACAAGGAGAAGCTGAAGGCCGAGATCGACAAGACCGTTGCATGGCTCGACGACAACCAGCAGGGCACCAAGGAGGAGTACGAGAGCCAGCAGAAGGAGCTCGAGGGTGTCGCCAACCCCATCATGATGAAGTTCTACGGCCAGGGCGGCGAGGGTGGTATGCCCGGCGGTATGGGCGGTGGCATGCCAGGCGGCGCTCCAGGTGCTGGCGCCGCCGGTGGCGACGACGGCCCAACCGTTGAGGAGGTCGACTAAACGCATGATACCCCAGCTTTAGACTTCTCTTGATTTCTCTTGCATGGCAGTAAGGCGTTCATCAAATGGGTTAGATGGGTCACGATGCGATGATGGATTCTCAAAAGCATCCACTTTTCTGTAATGTAGTCTATATGCCACAGACAAGGCATTTGGAATGAAACAACTTCACAAACACTCATTATTCCCACTCTCTCTTGATACTTCTTCCTAGTTGGTTTCTGGTTTCTGGTTCCTGTGCTCATCATATCCCAGCTCAAGACAAGGCGTCCTACCATCGTGCTAGAACATCTCGAAGGATGTTGTGGTTGATATGCCACTGTATGCCCTGCCAGGCAACCAGAGTCGTTGTCTTTTCTGGGATACTCGAGACGACCAAAACCTCACAGGGATAACGCCCCCACGGATCTTCTCCTCAAATCGCTTCTGTGCATCTTCTCATGAAAACGACAAACCCTCACCAAAAGGCAATCCCCCAAAACAGCACAGCTAATATGCCACTGAGAGCATCCCGCCGACCTTTCTGTCGGGCAGAAATTCTCGAGAGGAAATCCGAAAAGCGTCACATCCCCACTAAAACTATTACTGATATGCGACGGGCAGACTCCCCATTGCCTCATTTTCTGATGAGAAGCTCGAGACGAAGCTGGAGAAACATCTTGACGAGGACGATCACTGATATGCTACTGACAGGCTCCCCATAGCCTCAGTCTCTGATGACAAGCTCGAGACGAAGCTGAAGAGACATCTCGACGAAGGTGATTACCGATGTGCGTCGGAAAGACTCCCCGTTGCCTCAATTTCTGATGAGAAGCTCGAGAGGAAGCTAAAGAAACATCTCGACAGGGACGATCACTGATATGCTACGAACAGGCTCCTCGTGGGCTTTATCTCCGCTAGAAAACTGGAGAAGAGAATTACTTCCAAAGAGCTCTCATCTCGACGGATACTAGTAATAGACTGATATGCTACTGAAAAGGATACGTCCCCGTTGGATTGATGTCTCCGAGATGAGAGATATCCCAACAGTCGAAGACAAAGTATCCGAATGTTGTTGATGTATGGACTCCCTTTACCGTTGTTTTGAAATCTCGAGAAGATCTGGGAAAGTCTCTCGATGAAGACAACTGCATTGTTGATAGGTATGCTACCGACTGACCGACCGACTGACTCACTGACTGACTTCCCAAATGCCTCTTGTCTCGTCTCCATTAGAAAGCTTGCGAAGAAGAAGAAGAATTGGACGGACATCTCAACGGACCTCACCGATGATCTGCTACTATCGGACTCCTTGTCGCCTCTGTCGCCTCTGTCGCCTCTGTCGCCTCTGTCGCCTCTGTCGCCTCTGTCGCCTCTGTCGCCTCTGTCGCCGTCGTCGCCATCGAGAGAAAGTCAGACATGCCCATGCCTGGGAGCACTACCCGTACCCTCCCCGACTCGAGGACATCGAAGACTCAAATCGAGACTCATTCCTGCTCGCTACGGAAGACATCTCAGCTGCTACTGTAATCTTCTACTCTCTTGACAGAGTACACAGCCGCATTTGAGTCCTGGTCCTGTGGAGATGCCTTGGATCGCGCACATGAAAAGCCCGCACATCAGGGAAAAGTACATGACACCTTTTTTGTGCATCTCTATACAAGCAAGCCCGCTGAACATCACACGTCAAACATCAAGCATGCTACATCTTCGGAATCTTGACTTTGGATGGAGACCTCGTCCCATGAGCAATGGTATTCGCAGCACTCGTCCAGGAATCCGGATCTACAGTACCAAACCCACCATGTCAGCTCAATCAAGAATTTGGTGCTTCGAAAAGAAGAAGAAGACGAAATCCGCCGCTCCAACTTACGATTCTTCCTCGCCTCCGCGAGCACGCTCAGATAATCCTCCCTGACTTTCTTAATATCCTTGTACAGGATGTTTTTGCCTGCCGCTGCATCCCAGTACAGTTCGTCGGCGGCGAACAGGACATTGTGCAGGTCATCTCTGACTTGTCGCAATCTATTGGGGAGTCCTTGTCCTTTCATCAACGAGAGGGCTCCTGCTATTACAGCCGATACGGCTCCTAGGATTGCCACCGCGATATGGTAGTCCGCTCGTAGACCGCCCAGCACGATGAAAACCGCACTGAGTAGCAATTGTACGGCGAGGAAAATGTAGTTGAAGATATCGAAGACCCGGTATTTCGTCTGAATGTAACTGTGTTTACTCCGGATCTGAGCGTAAAGGCCGTGCGGTCTGGCTACCTCTTTCGGCCGTTGCCCGTCTGGTCGGGGCGGGTACATGCCGATGAGTTCGTAGAAGTGTTCTTCGGTCAGCGGTTTCATGTTATCGTCGAGGCGGGCGGCGGCGGGGTCGGGGTCTCGGATCTTAGGGGCGTGCGAGAAGATGCTCTGCATGTTTGAAGCGGGAGTCGTTTCGACGGTTTTCTTTTTCGTTACTGCTGCGGCTGGAGGGTTGGTTTTGACTTTGGGACCTCGTTGGTTGGACGAATTGTGCTGTTCATGGTCACCATCTTGCTCTTTCCCATCTTCTGGTGGACGACCGTATCGTTGTGTGTGCCGGAGATTGCGTGCTGAGGCTGAGGGATGCTAGATGGGGCAGTGGTCAGCCATTGGAATGGTGTGGTATGGAGGGGAGATATGGGATACCGATATCAACGAGCGCTGGTCCGAACTGCTCAGCTGCTCCTCTCCCTCCTCGCCATAGTCTTCCGGGCCCTTCTCCAGCTCGCCCACACTCGGTCTGTTTCTGACGCTCATGCTGCCCCGCCAAGAACGGAGAGAATTGCTGAGGTCCTTGGGCAGCTCGTGCATCTCTCGGCCTACCTATACAGCAGTGAGCTCGCAATAACGTTAGCTACTAAAAGATCAGAGACAGCTCCCGAAGAGCTCGGAATGATGGATGGCCGCGCCGCCATGGCTTAGGATGGCTGGTGATCGCTGATCACTGTAGGTGCAGAAAGCCATCCTCCGAGGATGCACGCTGACTGCCCGCTGCGGCTGATGGTCGCGCTACCTTGTTGCCGTGGATACGTTTCTTGACGCCAACCAAGCCGTACGGGTGCATCCTCGTCAGACATGGTGAATGTATCATGGCAACCTTGACGAGGCCGGAAAGCAGTGAAAGCAGCTGCTCTCCGCTCTCCGGCGTGCAAGATTCACTACTGCAAGATCGCAAGCTAGCTGCTTCGGGTCGAATACGTGCGTCTACACGATACCGACATGCGCTGCAGACTTGGACTTTCTAGTCTACCAAGTTTCCTTCTCACCAAAAGAAAGAGTATCCATTCCTTCGATACACCACTTCCCGGGCATCTACTGAGTCAAATTCGGACCCAGCTTCTTCTCCCCCTGTCCTGGCTCAATCGGCCTCACCTTCGGCACGGTCTCCAACGGATAATTCGACGTGAGAATGGCAATGTCATTCGTCCCCATCCGGCTCCGGTACGGCTTTCCACCCATGCCGAAGAGGAATGAGTTCGGGAAACCAACGTCGAATGGTTCGGCATCTTCAATCTCATCCACTTCCTCTTGCGTCAACTCGACCCCCAGGGCTTCGATGTTGCCCTTCAAATGTTCGACTTTCCGGCCTCCTACGATGGGGAAGACATAGGGAGTCTTGTGCATCACGTAAGCCAGTGCGATGCTCGTGATGAGCGTTCCCTTCTTCTTCGCAATTTCTTCCAGCTTCGTGGCGATGCGGATGTACTTCTCTGATTGTGGACCCATCTTCCTTCCATCACGATTCGGGTCATCGTATTCCTTCTGGCTCTTGAATTGACCTCTTCCCAAGCTTCCCCAAGGTGCGATTCCCATTCCCTCAGCTTCACACATGGGGATGATCTCGCGTTCGAAATCGCGGAATGCGGCGCTCCAGTGGCCTTGGTAGACGCTGAATTGCGTCAAGCCATGCTGACGGGCGTAGTCGTTGCATTTGACCACAATCCAAGCTGGCGTGTCTGAGATTCCGAGGTAGAGGACTTTGCCCGCCTGGACGAGAGAGTGCAGGGAGTTCATGAGTTCGGGGACGGAGGTTGTGAAGTCCCACCAGTGGAGCCAGAGCAGGTCGATGTAGGTTGTCTGGAGTTTGCGGAGGGAGTGCTCGACGGAGATTTTGATGGATTTGGAATGGTTGCCCTATGGCAGGTAAGAGTCAATTTCATGTCGAGTAAGGACAATAGAGAGAGCGTTCGTGACTTACTTGAAAGTTGGACTTCAGATGCTCATGCGCTCCTTGGGTCCTGAAGCCAGTCGTGAACTTGGTAGCAATGACCATCTCATCTCGGTTTCCCTTCTCCTTCATCCACTCCCCAATCCAAGTCTCAGACTCTTCGGCCTGGTAGTTGTTCGCTATAAGAGACAGCTGTCAGACCTCACACCTTCGCTTTGTCTCCAAATCGCAATACTCACCCGTATCGATGAAGTTTCCTCCCTGCTCGTAGAAATAATCCATCATCGCGAAGGCCGTTTCCTTGTTGCATTCACCCAGATACTCCTTCCATGCCTCCCCAAAGTTCATGGCTCCAAGGCATAGCGGGGAGACGCGCACTCCAGCGGTGGGAGAGAGAATGCGGTGGTATCCCAAGAGGGACGCGGGTTTCTTGGCTGGTGGAAAGAGAGACATTGTGCTGGTATTTACGATTTGCGGCGATGTTTTTTTTTTCCTTTTTGAGAGAATTGAGAAGGACTTAGAGCTGGCTACTCGAGGTGTCTTAGGCCCCGTTCACTTCGCAGAGATTTTTAGGTTATTAGGTCGTTTCGAGCGTGTTGCCGAGCTCGGCTGCCAATAACCTGGAAATAACCTAACCGTTCAGTTCATAACCTGCTTCCATTCCAGGTGAATAGATAGTAGGTTATTTAGTAGCCGGATTACCTCTTCTAGAAGGTAGAAGCGATAACCTATGTTCCTTCTTTTTAGAAGAAGATAGGTTATTACACGGGCTACTACGCGCGACTATCTCGCGTTATTAGCTGTTAGTAGTAGTAGTAGCTAATTTGTCTAATATAGTACTCTTAAACTACCTCTTTTACTACTACTACTATAGACTAACTCGTAGTACTTTTAATAATACTCGTAAGCGTGTCGCTAACGACGATATAGCCTACTCTCTACCGGCGGAAGCGTCGATAAGGTGTAAGGCCTACGGGCGTCCGATAGACGTAGATAGAGCCTAGTAAGGCATATAAAGAGGTGTATAAGTACTTATATAGAACGGAGGAGTTTTACTATTATACTACGCGGATAAAGTAGCCGGTTTTAAAGGCCTTTATTAAGGCAGTCGTCGAAGAAGGTAGATTGAATACGGATAGTAAGGATAGAGTACCTATAGATTAGTAGGTAGTAATATACCTAGACTTTGTCGCTTATAACCGGTCGATTCGAGCTCTTCGAAAGGAGTATTCGTACGCGCTAGTAACCCTATCTCGAATTATTAAAGACGTTAGTAAAGCCGTATATCGAATGTAAGACGAGTATATTACTCTACTAGCGGCGGATAAGGTCTATCTAAAGCTCTTAGATAGACGGTTCGAGCATTTTTAAGGGGCTCTTAGAGCGATTAACGGCACCTTTATCTACGCTACTATCGGCGAGAATAAACAGAGCGCCTAGCGTAACCGTAAAGGTTTTATCTCTTAGAATGTAATAGCGGCCTATAACTTCGATTACCGCTTCTAGTACGTATTAGTTAGTTACGAGAGCTCGGCGACAGATAGTACGGTACTACGAAAGGCCTATTAGAGCGGTTTTAAAGTGCCGCGAGGCCGCTATTACTTAGCTAATAGTAGATACTCTTTTAAGGACAGTCGACTGTTAGTTCCGTACTAAAAGACGCGGTATTACTTACGAGAACAAGCGGTAGCTAATCGTCGTCCGGATATACCGAAGGAGCTGTTTAATCTACGGTACGCGTAGCTCCGAAACTACGTCGAGAGGATATTTAGTATCGTTAAGAAGCGGTTTAAGGTTGTAGTAAACGGCCTACGCGAGGGCTACTCGGTACTAGACTAGAAAAGGATTATAATGTCGTACTATATAATCTATAACTTTATCCTTTAGTATAGTACCTAGCCGCTTTAATTAGAGCTAGAATTAGCTCGAATTCGTAAGGATAGCGTTCTCGGCGGTTAAGAGGAAGACGAAGAAGAGGTTAGTAACGATAAGTAGTATCCGCGAGCGAGGTTTCGTAATAATATAGCGGAGGATATGTTTATAGAGTATAAGGAGTATTTGTAGGTATCCGGTCGCGACAAACGCCTACCGTAGGACCCTTTGTTTTAGTAGGAGGTGTCGAAATAGTGTGTAAGCTCGTCCTCCTAGTCTTAGCGCTATCTACGGTAGTAGATAGGTAGTAGTAGGTAGTCTAGATAGGATACTATAGTCTTATATTACATTAATATCTCTATCTACTACAGTTACGTAGCTAATTTCTCCTCTTTTAGCGAGTCTTAACGTTAGCCGTAGAGCCTATTTTATAACTTATACTACTTTTTAGTCGTAGAAGAGGGAGTAGTTAGGAAACCGTATAATTTTTATATATCTAAAGATATAGACGGGTGTTACGTAACGAGCTTTCGGCTAATTAGCGTACCGGAAATTAATAACACCTCTATATAAATTTATAGTATAGAAAATCCTAGGACATTTTGTAGAATAAGTACTTCCCGTCTACTTCCTTTATATTAACTAAACCGTAAAAACTATAGCGGATACATCCGTAAGCTAGTGTAGTATACTATATTTAACGTTACCTCGTCGACTGTCGCTCTAATTCTAATACTATCTACTATCTACTATTATATCTACCGTCGCTATAGTTAAATAAACTATTCTATAAGTACGAGAAGGGTGTCTATAGAGGCTAAAAGCTATAGTAAGGAGTCGGCGACTAACTATAATCGCCTATAAGAAGGCCTAGACGCGGCGGTAGCGGTAGTTTAATCTTAACGAGTAGATCCGTACACTACGCTCTTAACTTAGACACCTTATCCTTTAATAACAAAGCTACGGCTATACTCGCTCGCTACGGTGTCCGCCTAAGCTCCTCGTAAATTAGTGTCTTATCGTTAAACGGTAGCTTAATATCGCCCTCTAAAAGACGCTTAAATACTAGGGTTATATTGTCCTTTATTAGCCGTGTCGGACGCTACTATACGGCCTTATTTTACCGTAGGTAATTAGCGAGGGTAGACGTTAATAGCTCTAGTACCTTTTACGCTACGGCGGCCTATACTCTAGCCTCGTTATTAACCTTTCGGTAACTACGCTTCTTCGGTAGCTACTTCTACTTCTTCTTCTTATTACGCCGTTCGTTCCGTACGGCGAGCCTTATACTACGCTTAAACTCTAACAGGCCCTCTAGATCTTTATCCGAAAGCGACACCTCCGAATCGCTACTACCTACTTCCTCCGGTTCCGAGTCGACACCTAGAGTAGTACTAGTTACCGTATACGCGCTAGTCGCGACATTGTCGCCTACAATCTTATCTATTAGATCTATATACTCCGGCGCCTCTTTAAGGAAGTAAACGTAGTCTAGGTAAGCGATATTATAGGCTTCTTCTAACGCCGGATTACCGCGTAGTAGTATACCGTTCTACCTACTAATATAGCCTTTATAGGTAATCTAGAGCTTCTACTCCTCTTTTAGCGTACGCTATTTGTTCTTTAACGACTCGGTAGTAATCGCTCGCTCGAACTTCCGCGACATAGCCTTAGCTATTATATTTAGGTCCTTTAGTTAATAACTATACGAGTCCGTTTATACCGATTTTAGCGCCTTTAACCGCTCTAAGAAGTCCTCGACTATTAATAGTATATACCTCGATAAAGGCGAATACCTCTCTATAAGTAGAGCGCTTAGATCTACCGGAGCCTACTTGCCGCCGCCCTTCTTCTTCGCGCTACCGCCTTCCGTAGTAGCCTTCCTTTTTACTATATTACTTACGGTAGTAGTAGTTAGAAAGAGCGAGTAGTAGTAGTTAGAAAGAGCGAGTAGTAACACACACGAGACACGAGAAAACGCGAGAGAAAATAGGTGGTAGATAACGCGACGACGCGGTCTTAATTACTAAGGAACTACACTAAAATCGGACTATATAGTAGAGCTCTTAATACACCGGAGCGTTCAGCTCAGTTTCTAATAACCTAGGTTATTTGAGAGGGGTTATAACCTAATAACCTACAACCTATAACCTGCGAAGTGAACGGGGCCTTATGCGGTGAGTGTCGTGAACCCTCTTGACGATCCCATTTCATCATTCCCATCCCCTCGGTTTCATGCTTTCTAAAGACCGAGTAACTCCGTTTGAATCCAGGGGGGTGCTGAAGCTTTGTGCTTGTTGGGCCAAGAGATCAGTATCGAAAGGGAAAGTAACTGCATGTCATGATGCGGACCATGCGGCCGCTGAAACTAACAGACGGGAGTGATGGAGCTTTGGTGGAAAATCTACCTTCTTCTGCGGCGTCTTAGATGAACTCTTCTCGGAGATAAGGCATGATCCTTTCCTCGAAACGCGACTGCTCGATGTTCTGACAGAGGTAGTTTGGTGTTTCTTAGAGAGGGTTTAGGATTGAAGAAGAGCTGAAGTCGGAGGATGCGTCGGTGCTGGTGGTTACCCGGCAGCTGTCTACTGCTTCCTTAACTGGTACTAGATAATCCTACCTTATACGATGAACGCGATGACATCTCCCTCGTCTCTCGCAAAAGTTTCGCCGCGATATCCTCGTCGACGCTCATTCTGCTGAGCGAACGCAGATCACATCTCACACCTAATGCAACATCACTCTCAAGGCGCACCCTATAAACTTCACGAAAGACGGGATGGAGATCATCCTGCAGCCGCTGGAAGTAGTACTCGGAGCAAAGAAAGGTGATAGGCAGGGGCCTATTGTGTCAGCGGAGATGTGCATTAGTAGAGAAAAAAGTCCTCCGAATGAGTTTTATTCTTTCAAGGAGAAAGAAGTAGTGTTAGGAGAGTCCGGGCATTGACTTGCCTGAGTCGCCGGAGACCCAACCCAATTCCAAGATCTAGGCATTCAGCCGGCCCTGCAAGTCCTTCCAGGCGTCTTCAGACAGGCTTCCTTGGGCGATGTTCATAGCGATTGACTGCACGGTGCCTTCCTTCTCTTGAAGTTCGTCAAGGAAAGTCGCAAGGGCCTCTGCAGCCTTCTCGCCAGGCACTTCGACCTTCGTATCCTCATTCGGATCCCATATGAACTCGCTGCTGGACACCTGAAGATCCAGTGCTTTCGAGACCGCATCGCCGACCGCTCTCGTATCACCGAGCTCGGTCCAGACTACGACTCTTCCATCTTCATCCTCTGTCACATCTATCGCGCCAGCTTCGAGGGCAGGTTCCAGCACCTCATCAGACCCTACACCCTCCTTCTTTTCGAAGACTATCCTCCCCTTCTTAGCAAACAGATAGCTCGTCGGCGTGCTCGATCCCCCATTGTCCTTAATCGCCAAGCGTACATCCGCCAACGTCCTCGGCTTATTATCCGTCTCACATTCCACAATCACAGCCACGTTACCCGGCAGTATTCCCTCCACTGTGACACCTTCCAGACTCGCGCCGGTGGAACTTCTTCCCTGGCCTCGCGCGATGGCGGCTTCGATGGAGGCTTTGGCGAAGCCTTCGCGTTTGGCTTTTGTGATGAGGTCCGCGAGGCGCGGGTTCATGTTGGGGTCGGGGCCGAAAAGTCTGGATGCTGTGGCTATTTCGGAGGAGAATATGGAGCGTTGGCGGTTTTTGCCTGCGTCTACTTTGGCTTTGTCGTGTTTGATTTTGCTCCAACGGTTGTGCCCGGATTGGACGGGGCGGGTTGTTGTGAAGGCTCGTGATCTGCATCGTGGATAGATATAGCGAGGAACTGGTAGCTTCATGAAAGTGGCAAGTCCTCTACTGGGAGCCATTGTGATGTATATCTTGCAAGGCTGCTCGTTGAAGTGGTGGTATGAAGGCGGATGGTGGTGACGATCAGGAGAGAGAAAGTGCGGAGGACTTCCGGTTGACAGCTTTGCGGAGAACTCCAGCTCCTTGAACATGACCATACAAATATCCCACCACTGTACACAAATTTTCTCTGACGGCCGCCTTTACGATTCAAGGACATATTGGAATGCGCGCAATGGTATAATATCACGACAGCGAACATGGCCGAAACGGAACAGACTCTGCCCTCCTCCACTGCGACTCCAGCACCCAAGCCCACCTCCAACTCCATCACCACCAATGGCCAAACATCTCCCAAGTCCGAGTTCGAGCTCGATGTAGCCAAGCTGCAGTCTTTGCCATCCGAACAACAAGGTCTATATCTTCTCACCTTCACCGCCGCCCTCGTGCGCCATGTCGACTCCATCACGGGCGACGAAGCTACCGCTGAGCAAGGTACTATTAAAAAGGAGCTCCTTCAGATCGTCAACCTCACCTCTCCCGCACCGACAAGACTAATCAGAAAGAACTTGGGACGTTGCTTCGCTGGAATATTCGCCAAGGGAAGTAGAAGAGTTCTGTATGAATCGATCAATGAGTTGGTTGCTATAGTCAACGCGGGGAAGGAGAAGGATTTGAAGGCCAAACATGCTGCTGTATACTGCTTGGGAGCAATCTTTGAGGCTGCAGGAGACAGTGCAATCAGCTTGTCGCCTTTGGCATGCACCGCTGTCTTGAAGCTCCTGAAGCCAGCTGCGAACGAGACGGGCTTACGGAGTGCTATATTCAAGGCTTGCGGACGAATCACAAAGGGCATCGCGGTCGCGATTGACGAAGATGTGGGCCGGAGTATTTGGAAACAGGCGCGCAGTGCTGTGGGCAGTGACAGATCTCTACTGGTCCAGGCGAGCGCATGCTGGTGCTTGGAGCAGCTCGTTCGGTGCACATCTTATTTCGACAACTCAAATGACTTCGAGAAGCTGCAAGCTGGCTTGTGGAAAGCTATGGAGAGTTCCTCTGTGACCGTCCGACATGCGGCGGCATCCTGTCTCGCAGCTGAGCTCGTGAAGAGCTACACGGAATCGCCGAACAAAGAGGCAATGCCAAAGCTCAAACGGCCGAAGAAGGCAAAGAAGGCAGCTAAAGGAGAGGAGCCGGAAGAGGAGATAGAACGAACTGGCTCACCCGTGCCCGAGAAACCAGCGACTGTCCTCTCTTACAGCTTACTGGAGATGCTAAGACTTCTCTCTACCCAGTTCTGCAAAGCCGCGACTCCCAACCGGGCACGCGCAGGAATAGCAGTATGCTATGTGAGGATCTTCAAAGCTCTGGGCGAAAGCGTCGTGGAGCAGAAGTACGGCGAAATCGCGCAACACTTGTTCAAGGACATTCTGGAGTATCAGGGCTGGCAGTTCAATCAGTTCCGTCAGCTTCTAGCCAGAAAGTTCGTGCGCATCATATTAGAGCGTGTCATTGGCAGCATGCTGGGTGAGACAGCTCAGCTAAATGCTTGCCGCTTTCTGCTCAACGACATTATCAAGAACTATCCTCAAGCGATCAAGGAGCGACCGGAGCCTTCCAAAGCAACGCTCACTGGAGCAGTCAGTACATTGACCTCTCTCATCCAGCGCCTCGACGCAGCGATTGGCGAGATCGCGGAAAGCTGCCGGGAAGGCTTGCTCCAAGTGCTGCAGCATTCAAGCTTCACGGTCCAGATACACACAGCCCGAGCTTTACGTGCCTTTGCTTTTGCCTGTCCACAGCAACTCCTTCCTGCAGTGACAATCTGCATGAACAGCGTCAGTCGCGAGCTGACTCTACTTGCAGGGCCACAACGGAGCCCACGGCGCTGCATCGGGTATGCTCATGGCTTGGCCGCCATTCTGAGCACATCAAGCGAGCACCCGCTCTATGGATCAGTAGACGTCTACGCTCGCGTCCTGCAACAGGCAACGACATTGCTGAAAACAAGCGGAAGCTCCGATCTGCGTGTCTCAAGTTGTCAGCTTCAAGTTGCGTGGATTATGATCGGAGGCTTGATGTCGCTGGGTCCAAACTTTGTGAAAATACATCTTTCCCAGCTCATGCTACTGTGGCGGAATGCGCTGCCCAAACCGGTGCCGAATGACAGCATCAGCAGGCGCAACATGCTGGAATTGAGCTATCTCGCGCATGTGCGAGAGTGTGCGCTCGGCTCTATCAAGGCTTTTTTGATGCACAACCAACGTCTGCTCACGTCTGATGTCTCGAGACGACTTTCGGGTATGCTGGAGAACACCGTGATCTTCCTGCAGAGCCTTCCGTCCAAGAAGACCAGCGACGACCCTTCCAATCGACTTTCGAAAGCTCTTCAACTGCAGGACTACGATGTCATGGTCCGACGGAGAGTATTTGAATGCTTCACACAGCTTCTCAACCTGAGCCCGGCCGGCAGCATTGAGACCACGGCGCACTCAACAATCCTTCCACTCGCCGTGGCTGCGTTCTCGGACTCGGAGTATGATGCACCAAACTCGCTAAGTGCTGCTATTGCGACTTCTGCTAGTACTTTTGAAAGCATATGGGACCTCGGCGATAACTATGGCTTCGGCGTGACCGGGCGTATGCTTGGACTGGACCAACGCAACCCTATCAGTGGCAAAGTCGAGCGACACTGGACAAGCCGCCTAGACCATGAGGCTGAGATAGACCAAGCCGTCCTGACCCCGATTGGAACGGCAGCGGAGAATGATGCTACTTCTTGCTATCTCAGGATGGGAGACGACGAGAATGACCTTCCTGGTCCGGCGGCTACTGAGGCTGTTGACGCTGCTATCGCTGCCTTTGGCCTTTCGTTACCACTGCAAAGTCCCAAAGTCCAAGACAGCACACTTGAGCAGATCGCGACTTCGCTAGGTGCTCTTTCGTTACAGAAAGACCCGGCGAGAAAGATTGCAATCACTGCCAACGTTGCTTTAGCCTTGTCGACTGCATTACGAGTCGCGACTGGAGATCTAGGTTCTGCGAGAGGTGAGCTGAAGAGCGTTCAAGCGGAGAGGGGCCTCCAGTCTCTGTTGCATCTTTGCATGCAAGATCCCGACGATTCGATCAGGTCTATAGCAGCGACAGGTCTTGGCCGTCTTTGTTCTAGCTCGGGCACCGCATTCACGACTTCTGAGGTCACCTATCTGACGGAAACCATTGTCAACAACCGCGAGCCGCATGTGCGTACTGGATGCGCCTCGGCGCTCGCACATATTCACTCGCAACTGGGAGGCATGGCAGCTGGACTGCATATGAAGAACATTGTAGGCATCTTGATGTCTCTCGCAGCAGATACCCATCCATTAGTGCATTTCTGGGCTCTGGACAGCCTTGCTCAGATCGCTGAATCGGCAGGCTTGAACTTCTCTGGCTATGTGACCAGCACCATTGGCATGCTCAGCCAACTCTACGTCTCCGAAAGTCACAATGTCGACACGGTCGCTCAAGCATCTTCCAATATGGCAATGGGGTTGCCTGTGACTGCGGCAATCGCTCGCGGAGTAGACGCAGTCATCAACGTGCTGGGTCCGGATCTTCAGGACATGACAAAGGCCCGAGACATGATACTCACGCTGGTTCGCCTGTTCTCACACGAAGAAGCGACCGCAATCCTCCTTGAGAGCTTGAGATGTCTTGAGCATCTATCACTCTATGCACCTGGCCATATGGAATTTGCTGAATATGTTCGCCGCTTGCAGGACGATGTCGATGGGTCTTCGTCTGAAATATCTAGCTTGGCCTTACACGGTCTCTTCACTCTGATGCGCCGCGATGCACCAGAGGTCGTGAGAACGGCAAGACCTGGACTTGAAGATCGACTGTGGGAGTTTCTCAACTACGAACCTGGCCAGACTCACATTCAGAACATCTTCATGAACTGGCTTCAACAAACCGGCTCTAGTGATCCAGCCGATTGGATCCAGAGGTGCAACAACATCCTCACGAAAACTTTGGCAAAGGTAGAGCAGCCGAAGACGGCACCCGTCAAGGACACTGCAGGGCCAGACCTACAGGATGAAGAAGTGGCTGGCTTCGCCGTCACTGCTGGGGCGTCCAAAGAGGATGAGGCGCAGGCGCCGTCATCAACACAAGAACTCATGCGTTGGCAAGTGAGGCTCTTCGCGATGGAGTGCCTTCGGAACTTGATTGCGATCATCCAGAAAGAGGCTGCCATCAGTGATAACAGCCCTGGCGAGGCAGCGCTCCAACACAAGGTCGCAGATGTCATTCGTATTGCGTTTTCTGCCTCCACTGCGGGTGTTGCCGCTCTACGCGTGGTTGGCATGCGCATCATTGACCAGGTCCTCAAGATGTTCGGGCGGACGCCTGATCCTGACTTTTCGGAGGCCATGCTGCTCGAGCAATATCAGGCTCAGATCAGCTCTGCGCTGACCCCTGCTTTCGCAGCCGACTCGTCTCCCGAACTGGCGGCGGCGGCGGTCAATGTCTGCGCCACTTTCATTGCTACCGGCATCGTCACAGACATTGATCGCATGGGCCGCATCTTGAAGACACTTGTGTCTGCACTAGAGAGTTTCTCGAGAGACTCCGACACAGCGAGCATTGGAGATCTCAAAGCGCTCAGTTCGAATGCGCAGGTCATGGTGCGCATGGCTGTGTTTGCTGCGTGGGCCGAGCTGCAAATTGCAAGCGCCGAGCAGAAGTATCTGGTGGATGTCGTCAAGCCGCACATTGCTCAGTTAGTCCCTCTCTGGATATCGTCTTTGAGAGAGTACGCACGCCTCCGCTTTGAGCCTGATATCTCAGCGACGACGGCCAGTCTCGGCACACCTGGAGACCTGGATACCGTCTATGCCGCATTGAATCGCGAGACTCTGCTGAAGTTCTATCAGGCCTCTTGGCTAAGTCTGGTCGATGCGATTGCAAGCTTGATCGACGAAGACAGCGAATTCGTCTTTGACGCTCTTGACAACAAGCAGACAGAGAAGAAAGACGGAGAAGACGAGCGGGAAATGAACGGTAGTATTGCTCGTAAGAGCACAGGCATCAACTATCGCGTGGAGCCTGTCGCCTTCTTCTTCGTGCTCTACGGACTTGCATTCGAGTCACTTGCGGTGCGAGCCAACGACGATGATGTGCTCACCCGCCAACGTAACCTGGACATACTGGAAGCACTAAAGAAGATTCTACGGCCTTCAGTGTCTGGAAATGCCGTGTATCAGGAAGTTGTTTTTGCCGAGACAATGGACTTGCTGGATAGGATGGTTCTCACCGAGAGCCTCAGCATGCAAGCCATCATTGTGGAGATCGCGCGCAATCTATGCATCGTCCATCCCTCGTCGAGGCACGGCCAACCGACGCCCATCAATGGTGAAGCGCTTTCGGACGATATCGAGCAGCTGTTCGAGCTCACGCGCATCATTATCCTGGTCATTTCTGGGCTTGTGCCAGGCTTGACCGAGACCCCAGTGTCAGCACAACTAGAAACGTCCGAGGAGGCTACCGGCCTAGTGCGCGGTTCGCTGCAAGCCTTAGTAGACGTCTCCGAGGTCTTCCCAGCCATCATCAAGACGGACCTGCACGCTTCCATTTTCCACATCTTCGTCACAATCTTGGGGACAGCGAGCTGCCAAGCGGTGGTGGTGCCGCAATCTCTGCCTATCTTTCGACGTTTCGTGGCGAGCATTGCGGACGACGATAGGGCTGAGACGAAGCAACAGATTCGAAATGCTTTGAAACGGATGCTTGCGATTCTGCGAAATGCTCAAAAGCGGGAGACTGAGGCCAGTCTGCCATGCGAGAAGAATACCCTGCTGGCGATTACCATCCTTCTCTCTGCAGCACAACCTCTTTTCGAGGCAGACGATCCCATGGTACTTCGTTTCATCGGCGAGTTGCGCGAATGCGTTGCTGCACCGATGACTTCAAAGGCTGCGGCCAGCTGCTACCGTACGCTCATGCTCCAAGGTGTTGCCCCTCGCTTGACCTTTTCTCACGCTATAAGCTTCATGCTCGAGGCGCCTGACCTCGAAGGAATGGACGAAACGAGACCAGTCATGGCTCAGACGCTGACGATGTACACCTCCAAGCTCCCGGCAGCGCAGAAGCCTCCGGCTGTTGTTTTGTCGCTCACAACTCTGCTGGCATGCGCGGCCAAACAGGGACCCTCTTCATATCAGAACGTCGCAGCTCGTCTTCTTGAACTTGCTGCTACGGATAATACGACTTTCAGACAGCTTGTTGGAAGTCTCGCTGGAGAGCAGAAGCAGTTGATGGAGCGCATCTTGAAGTCTCAGAGTGGGAATCGCGGGTCGAGGCAGGATCACAGCGCGGATCGGGAGCCGAGTATTGCATTGAAGATGGATTTTGGGGGGTGAGCCGCCTTTATCTGTTTGGAGCCGGTGTATGACCTTCCGATTCCTCGTCATCACTATCCTCCAGCGCGTATACCTCCTCCTCTGGAGGCGAGTCTGTTTCTCTCCTGCGCTCTCCTTCCAGAGGCGTGCTAGCAAACATACTCAGCATCGCAACATCGTACGACCCTTTCAAAGTTCCCGCCACCACGAAGGCGATCCAAAAGCGCTTATCGCTAGCTAGAAGTCCGGTGATTAGAGGACCAGAACTCTGGCTCATCGTTTTCACGGTATTAACGATTCCCATGACGGCTGTGCGTTCCTCGGGCAGGACGACTGCCGAGAGGAAAGCGCTGCGTGGTGCTTGATCCATTGATGCGAGACTGGATCTTGCTACTAGCAACAGGATTGTCATGAAAAGTGAGGATGGGGCCGGGAGGAGAGCGAGGAAGATTGCGCTGGGAAGGTGGGTGAAGACCACTGTTTGTGGGTGTATGTCAGTACACAGATAGATACATGATGAAGCGGAGATTAACCGAGTTGACTTACTCGTCCGAACCAATCCTATTCTTTTCGCCACCGAGCTTGCGAAGATGTTGCCGAGACTGGAGACGAATTGCGCGCTCGCCATGATTGTTCCTAGTGTTCCCTGTTCCATTCCGAATTTTCTTGAGATGTAGTATGCGATTAGCGAGGCTGGGACCATTCCGCTTGCGAGGGAGTCGAAGAAGAAGAGGCCGCAGAGTTTTGCCAACGTCAGCTGTGACTTCTTTGATAGCTGGAACCATTGCTTTTTCGCTGGTTGTGGAGGTGAAGGAGTTTCTGCTTCTTGTTCCTCGTTGTCGTCTAGGAATGGTTCGTCTTCTCCGTCTTCCGATTGATTCTGTTGGTCCCGCTGCTGTCTTGAAAGTCGCGTCGGCGCCGGAGTAGGAGTAGCAGGTTCCGCAGCGGCTTCACATTTCCCACTCAGTAACATGGTCATCGCAGCTTTCAAAATGCCAATCAAAGCATAGATCCAGAACACCAGCCGGTACGAAGCAAGCTCACTCCATCCATTCTTCGCCTGGACCGCCTGCGTCGCCCACCCGGCCACCAGACTCCCACTCGCGGTGCCCAAAGTCCCACTCACGACGTAGAGAGCGAAGATATCCGAGCGCGTCGCCGGGTCGGATAACTGCGCCAGCGTCGACTCCTCCACGGCGCGGAAAGGCCCGATCTCGTTTCCCGAGGGCGAAATCACGCCCACGATAGCGGCCAGGAGCAGGATCCAGTAATTCGAAACCGTGGCGAATGTCGCTCCGGAAAACGTCATCAGCAGGGCGCCGAGGGTGAGGATCCTCCGACGGCCGAGGCGGTCCGCGAAGAGGGTGAGGAAGAGGCTGATGAGGACGTCACCGACGAGGGTGAGGGTCATGAAGAGGCCGATTTTGGCGTCGGAGTGGTGCAGGGCGGCGAAGAAGAGGGCGAGGATGAGGGTGGACGAGCCGTAGGCGAACATGCGGATGAAGCGGGTGAGCAGGAGGAGGTCTGTGTCCCGGGAGGAGGCCAGGAGGGTCGTGAGGCCTAATTCCGTGGAGAGGCGGTGTAGGAGGGGTTTCATTTTGTTGGTGGAAGACATGGTGGTGAAGGCCGTTGATTGTATCCTACACAGCGTTTTCCGGGTGAATTTGCGGTGCCAAAAAGGATGTGCTCGTGCGAATATGGAATATTGGCGATGGGTGGTGTTTGCTGATGGGAGCGAGGTGCGGTCGGGTTTAGCTAAGCTAAGCTACCTTACCTCATCGACCCGATGGAATCTTCTAAGCTCCACTTCCCTAGTGGGGAAGGCAAGCTGGGACGCGTATGCAGTACAAGGATGACTCTGTACAATCAGCATAAATCATGAAGTGCGTGGAGAACGGACAAGTTCGAATCCTCTGCTGATACATTCGATCCATCTATCCTGTGCTATCGTGACTCATCGCATGGGTATCATCAAACTTGGAAAAGCCAAGGCATCGTTCTCATCTCGGCCGGCTCCTCCTAGCCAACATCTCCCGAATCTCCAAACTGTCCCGCCCCTGTCCAACCATCACCACCTGCTCCTCTGTCTCAACCCTCGTCAGCCGCTCATCGATACCATCTATCCTACCCAACCCTTCCTCCACCGTCCCAGGCCTGCTAGCCAAGATCTCCAAAACCTCCCTCTCCCTCCTCACCTCCTCTTCCATCTCCATCGAACTCTTCTTCCCTCCCCGATCCCACCCGGCCCTCATCCACTCCGCAGAAGCCTCCTCAAACCTCTTCCGAACATCCAGATTCCCCTCGAGACTCTGGAATATTTCCACGTCCGTGGGCCAGAATGCAGCCTTGAGAGCCCTGATCCCGATCTCCAAGAGTAGACAGGCCGTGACGCTGAGGATGAGGGTAAGCCACCATTGCCCACTCCTTCCCCAGCGATGAAACAAGCCGTCTTTGACATTATATTCGTTGTTCTTCTTATAGAGCCCCGCGAGGATGATGTTCCAGAGAAACCAACCCCCGATGGCGAGAATGCACGCGACCAGCGCCATGGAAGATTTATAGCGTTGCTCAATCACTTGCAACTTGATCGTGATGAGGATGACGCAAGCCGTAAACGTCATGTTCCCCATGGGGAAGATGGTATTCTCTGCGTTGAAAATCGCATCTCCGTACAGGCCCCACATGGTGAAGAAGATGATGACGGCTTCGCATACGGCGGTAAACATCCAGCCCAGGTAGACTTTGAGATTGAAACCAGCGCCTCTCTGGCCTTTGGTGTAGAGTTCCGGGACAGCGAGGAGTGTAGAAGCGCGGAGATCCTGTTCGAAGACGCCCAGAAAGATGACCGTTAAGCTGGTGAAGAGGGTGTTGAACATGGAAAGGGACCAGGATTCGTACAGAGAAGTACCGCTGTAGCCGTTGTAGCGTTGGTAGAGGGCTTGTGTGAGGTAGAAGAGCATTTCTTTCCAGAAAGTGCCGACAGTGTATTTGCAAGTCCTTTTCAGGGCACGTATCAGCAGACAGACTCGGTTATGCGAAGAACGTGCGCACTTACCGGATATAATTCCACCTCCCGTGGACAAGTAACAACTTGACCAGGAATCGGAACTGCGCAATCGCATAATCACTTGTTCTCGCGGCCTGCAACCCCTCTTTCCCTGTGATCCCGATTCCAACGTGCGCCTCCTGAATCATGGCGATATCGTTCGCTCCGTCGCCAATGGCCAGCGTGACACACTTCTTCAATCGAGTGCGGATAGAATGCACCAGCGCCGCCTTCTGACTCGGACTCGCTCGACAGCAGATGACTGAGTCCGCAAGGATAGCCAGATCCAAGAAAAGGGTAAGCATGGCTTCGTCGGACTGAATCGACGCGAGTGTCTGTCCGTCGATGACCACGACGGCATGAGCGACGCCACCGCGGTTGATGTCGATGATGGAAGCTGCGATATTTTGTTCCACGTCTCCGGCTTCGGAGTCCAGCACCGAGACGGAAGAGTAGTCCTTGATCAGCCGACAGCTATGCCCGATATTGATCGCCGTCTCACGCTTATCGCCCGTCAACATCCACATCCTGATGTTAGCACGTCGCAGACGATCGATGGACTCCGGAACGCCCATCTGCAGCTTATCCTCAATGGCAGTAGCACCGCCCAGTTCCAACTGCTGCTCGATGAGCTCTCCAGCCTTCTCGATCAAGACCTGGCGGTCCACAAGTGAAGTCGTCGCATTGTGATACACCTTCTTCCAAGATTGATATTCTGCCTCATCCAAGAATCGATATGCGTAAAGCAGCGTCCTCAAGCCTTCAGTCGCAAAGTCGTTGATATGCTGCAAACACCTCCCGATAACCAAGCCCTCATCAGCAGCTACAGACTCATCGACATTCACATCTTCCACTCCCGAATGGAAAGAATACCGCCTATCCGTAGCCGCCATCGAAGGCCGGAAGTGTGAGGACGCTCTGGGTGACTGATCCACATCATGCTCCCGGACATTTAGCCAATCATCAATCTCGTCTCGGATCGGTTCTAGCCGTCCTATACTAGGCCTCCCCAGAGTCGTGCTCCGTCTCGCCAGCGAGTTGCTCGTCCGTGGCATACTACTCACGCTACCCGAGCGTTCAATCATACTGCTCTTTCTCCGCAGAGCCTCCTGGGCTTCCATGGACTTGCGCTGTACATTGTGCTTTTCGATCTCCGACATTTTTTGATGGGCGAGCTGGGCAAGGCGTAGACGATTCGTGATGACCGAATCTGCACCTTTGCACAAGACCGTAATGCGACCATCTGGTAAACGAACGACGACCGACATGCGCTTGCGCTTGCTGGAGAATTCAATGACGTCCAGGATATCGTAGCTCTCCAAGATTGGATCGGCGTTGTGTCCGTGCGGATACAGCTTCAGTGTCAAAGTCGAGGCATTGCGCTCGTAAGCTAAATAGCCGAGTTCCTTTGCAGCTTGGACCAGGGCGAGTTCATCCGGTGAAGCGGCCTGAAAAGTGATCTGATCGTCTCCTTCTCCTTTTCGCTCGGGAAGGCAGGTATGGCAAAGCGCCATCGAGAGAATCATCATCTTCGCACGACTGGAGAATGCAGTTTGCGGCCGTCTCTGCAGGTATCTTATGAGTTCTCGTGTGCTCGGCTCAGACTGCTCCATGCCCGGCGCAGCAGAGGACTTCCATAATAACGACGTCGTCGAATTCCTGAAAGGCGCTTGCTCACTGTTGTTCACGTTCAGCGGTTCCTGGGCTTCTGCATTTTCCCGACTTGCCCTGGCTCCACACTGTGTCGTCGACTTTCGAGGCCTCCAAGCTGGTTTCTTGCCCTTACTCCGCTGTCGTCTCTCATGCATCAGAAGCTCTTCCTCTGGCTCCACAGGAAGATCCGCATCATGCAACCATGCAGTACCGGCAACACTCAGCTTTCGAAAGCGCATCACGTTCTCCGTCAGAGTTCCCGTCTTGTCTGAGAAGATGTACCCAACCTGTCCCAGCTCCTCGTTGATCGTTGAAGTTCGCGCCTCGAAAGGCGTGTTGCTCTCCGCATCGTACATATCGATGTCGTTCAGGAGGATCATCTGCGCGATCTTGATGATTTCCAGGCTGACGTACAGTGACAGGGGGATGAGCGTATTGAACATGATGATGAAGGAAGTGATGAGAGGCCCGAAAGCGACCGGCGCATTGTTAATGTACCAGGCCTTCTTTTCGGTGGTGTTCTGCCAGACTTGGTATGCGATGCTGTTGAAGAGGGCCAGAAAGATCACAAAAAGCACGATGCAAAAGACGATCTTGTTGACGATCGCCTGGAGGGAAGGCGCCTTGATGCGAGGATTCTTGTTCGCATTCATTCGAATCTTGCATTCCTCGCCGCTGTAGATGATGATCCCGACAGCCTCAGGCGTGTTGCGTAGAATGCTTCCTCGGTAGATGATCTCGTTATTGGTGAGAGGAGACGTCTTGCCATTGGTAGCGAGCTTTCCTTCAAAATTGTAAAGATCCAGATTGGGATCCTCGACGACGAAGTGAGCGTCCGCTGTGGCCAACGTTTCGGCATTCTGAGCGGCCTGAACAGTATCGGCATTCGGCTGCTTTGGCTTGAGATTAGTCTCGCCATCCAAGGCCATCGTTTCAACGTAAGCAGTGTTGTTGGCGCCTTTGCTACCCAGGAGGATCATATCCGCTGGAGCTGCTTCGTCCCGCTCAAGCTTCACCACGTCTCCGACTTGCAGAGAATGCCACTTCACAGGCGCCCAATGAATCGGACCCTCAACCGCGACCGGGACATCGGCATCACCTTTAGCTGTGGGTACCGGTCTGTACACATGCAACACGCGAGCCTCGCGATTGTTCTCCGCCTTGTCCAGCTTGTGTCGCCTGAAGTCTTCATATCCTTCTTTGCCCATGGATACCGAAACGAAGAACAACAGAGGCACGATAGTCGTGTACGTTCCAGTCGTGCTCAGCCCTGGAATCATCTGCAAGATCGACACACACAAAAAGTAAAAGTTGGCCAGCTTGGAGAACTGTGCGAACAGCTGACGTGGTAAGAAATTCCAGGGAGTGTACTTTGAGGATCGAATCATGTTCGAGACGAAGGGATGGCCAGTCCTCTCATCGATGAGTGCTTTCTTCCTTGACGGATCCAGTGGGACGTGTCTGCCATCTTTCGAAGGCGGTATCTCCTGTATCCGCAGTACGAATTTCCTCACCCTCTCACATACCTCTTTCGTTCTCTTCAAAGGCGAACGTCTCTTTGCGTGCTTATTGGCCCACTGTTGATAATTCGGAAGAGCAGACGTTCCGGTCATCCTGGTCGCGATCTTCGGCGGAGACGCTGGGCGAACCTCTTCGATCGGCGTGATCGTTACAGACGCCCTCGAATCTTTCTTGCTGTGGCCTCGCTCTTCTCGTCTGCTGCCATTCGTCGAAGGCCCGACATCGTCTAGCTCATATCCGGATGAGACTCTTTGGTTCATGTGTTTGGCGAAAAGCGAAGATCGAAGGGACATTCCCCTTGTCCTGCTCTTGGGCGAAAGAAGCTCGTATCGGGGTGACATTTCGGCTGGACTCTTCGAGGTGCTCTCGCCCATGACGTTGTCCACCTGTTGCTGTTGCGCGGCTCGGGCGTCGATCGCGAGAATGGGAGCCTTCGAGCCTTCCGCGGGAGAGGAACCATTGCGCTCATTCAGGCTGTCGTCGCTCTTTCTCTGCTTGATCTTTGCTCTCCGCTCAACTTCACCCGAAAAGCGTACACGTTGAGCTTCTGAGGGACGTCCATTGTGGGGACTGACAAGTGTCGTCCTGCCCGTGTGCACGTCGTCAGGTGAGGAGCTCGCAAACTCGCCATCGCCATCGCCATCTTCATACTGCCCCGAGTGTCTTCGCCTCACTCCGCCATCTTCATGATTTGTTTTCGCAGAGCTCCCATCTGCGGCTGCCATAGCTGCGAGGCACTCCCTCGATATCGATCGACAGCATCGGCTCCGCTAGGCACAATCGAGGTTGACTTCTGGGCAGGCTGGTTCTCATCGCAATGCGTCAAACGAATGGCATCTTCCATCGATTCAGGAACCGTGAATGGCGAAGAGACACATGGTATTCTGTGCCACTCCACCCAATTACCCAATGCTAAGCCACCAGTATGACACGCTCTCCACGCGGCACGAGCTCGACCGATCTGGCTCGGTTCGGTGCCGCGGGACAACGAGTAAGCTAAGCGGTCCCGGGCGTGTGCTAAGCGCGCCAATCAGACGTCACGACTTGCGCCATCAGCTAATTCAGTTTCCGAGGAAGGAGCCGATCCCTATTGTTGCTGTGTAAGAGGTATGGAATTGAGCATGCCTTTGTAAGATCTAGCCTGCAGACGAGGATATCCCGTAACGCAAGTAACCACTGCCAATGTCATCAGTAGAGGCGACTGGTTGGCCTCACTGGCTGGATTTGTCGCTGTATGACAGTTGCCTTGTGTCTGAACTACACGTATGCAAAGGGTGGCACGGCATGACGACAGTATGGCCTATCTCGTCAGGTGGCTTTTTGATATAGACGCTTGTCACCTCTTCTCGAGGTCCAAGAAGAATGGTCCTGAGACTCTGAGAGCGAGACCTGCCGCGCCTCTTATGGCAGTCCGAGCTCCTTCCTTATACCAGTCTAATCACGGAACAAGACGACCCAAAAATACAGGTTTTCGAAGATAGACCTCGTCTGAGCGGCAGTTCTGGGGTCCAATATTCAACCGATGATTGTAAGAGACAGGAGAAGTAATACGGGTCTCGATGCATTGTATTGAACGCGGCGACCTCGGGGATTGAACGTGAAAGGGATCGAATTGAAGCCATTGTAGTTCGCGGATGGGTAGTATCGTGGTGCAGTTCGGGCCGAACGACAAGTTCGATAGTCAACTTCCACTTCGGATATGTGTCGCTCCTCTTCTCCAGTAGAGGAGGCTGAGGGTGGTGCTCCTGATGAGATGAAACCGGTTACGACTTCTTGACACACACAAGGGTGAGTGCACGAGGTGGCGTGCTCATGGCTGCTTCGGCGACTTGTGCATCCCTCGACCAGGAGCAGCATCACGAGATGCACGCGCGCACGCGAGCAGCACGCCCGGTGCGTGGAACGGGACGCGTGAGGGAGATTAAGGCAATTTGTATGGTGAGAATTGTACGAGCGTTGTGTGTTTCAAAGGGCAACGGCTATGATCCGATATGAGGAGACGGGCCTGGCCGCTGCATGGAAGGAGGTAGAACTAGCGTGCCAGTGAGATCGGGCGAATTGTCAGCCGCGAGATGACGACCGAAGCGGAGTCGCCGAGGGCGCGGTAAGGTAGCACGTTGTAGGAGAGGGGGAAGACTCGGCTCGCTGTCGCACAGGTGCATGTAATAGTGGTAGCGATATCAAATGGAGTGCAAGGAGGGAGAGAGATGTGGTGACGAGAGGCAGAGGAAGTGTTGGCTTAGCCTGCCTCAAGTTTGATTGCGGTTGCGCTGTGGTGTTGTAAGCGGGAGTACCTTAGTGTCGCCGGATGTGTGTGCTCCACCAAGGTACTCTTCATCTCTCCGAGTCTCCAGTCTCCACACCCTCGAGCGACATCTCAACACCCGCGACATGTCCCGAGAGACATACATGCACCGAGAACAATAGCGACACCAAGCAGCGAATTGGTCCTTATTGAGACCGCACACAGCGACATCCGAGAGTTCACAGTTGTGACGTGCCGAGTCGTGACGAATTGCTTGGCGACCGGGTGTTTGCGCCTTCTGTCGCCTCTGCTGTGTCTGCTTCTGCCGTCCGAGCGGCGTGTGGGCGTGTGGGCGTGTGGGCGTGTGGGCGTGTGGGCGTGTGGGCGTGGGCGTTGGCGTTGGCGTTGCCGCTGGGGCTGGGCCACTGACGGGACTCCGACCTTACCTACTCTTACTCTGCAGTGACGGAGCGACAGCAAACTTCCTCTCTCCACCCCACTCCTCCACCACCACCCCGTACCCATACCCATACCACACCACGCCACACCACACGATACCACACGATACCACACGACACGCAACCACACACCACCGCTCCAGTGCGACGGGCGTGAATCACCCACCAATAGCACGACGCCGAGCCGAGCGCAAACGCCGACCGACGGAGCGGAGCGAGGACTGAGGCTCCTGAGCGGCCTCTTTGCCTCGAGCACCGCACTCACCACCCATCACACTCCGACTCCCTCACAATCTCAGCGCGCACAGACGGGCGCAATCTGGGCTGCGACACAATAGCATTGCATTTGCGGAGTTCCTGATTTTCGGGCCTTGCGGGCGCATTGGCCTGCCACTTCGTCGGCGTCGAGCCCACCCGAGCGCGATTTACCATCTCCTTTCCCCATCATCGAGTTTGCTGCCGACTCCATCATCCTCCCGTCCTCCCGCTGTTTGCCTCTCGCCCCGGCGTCCTGCTGAGACGCAAATATGCGCGAGGTCAACTTCAGCATCCCTAACGCGAACAAGGCCTCGGTCGGCATCACACACGCCCTCTACGACCGCCGAGCCCTGGACTGCACATCTACCCTCCCGCTCATCAACTCCCTCAATAACCTCGCATACCTCACAACCTCTTCGGGTCGTATTCGAGACATCCTCACCGTCGATGGCGGCATCGAGCGCTTGGTATGCATCCTCAAAGAGGGGCGGAGCAAGGATATGATGGACATGTGGAAGTGGAATCTGGCTTTTCAATGCATAGTAAACATTGGCGTGAGAGGCTCAGAGCAGGTGCGCACTCGCGTCGTGGAGGCAGACATGGTCCCAGTCATCGCGACAATCCTAGACAACTACTTCCAGGTCATGGACAGGCACAGAGAAAGGGTCGAGATGGAGAACCGACGGAAGTGCCCTTTCAGCGGATCACGGGGCTTCTCGCGGTCTTCCAGCAGGAGCGAGACCCAGGAGCAACGCCTTGGGAGGAGTCGCAGGCATGCACCGCCTCCTATCTCCATCCCAGAGTCGAGAGAACAGCCAGAAGCAGACGATCCCGCGAGCGAAACCACGCCTACCGCACCCACTGCAAATCTGTCGCTCAGCTCGCCTCCGGAGAGAACAGTCTTCCCGCGACGGCAGAGCCTTCAGCAAACCAATGCTGGCGGCAGCAGCAGCAGCAGCAGCCGTGTGCAGTTCTCCTCACCACCAATTCCCACCAACAGGCAACCTGAAGCCCCGACTTCGACAATGACCCTGCAAAGCAACGCGAGTGGCAGCTTTGTGCGGCCTGTGCGCGACATCGATCGACTTCCTTCCATGGTCACCCCAGTTCACGCGGAACTAAGTTCACAGCCTCAATCTCCAACTACCCCCGGCGCACCCTTTCAAAGGCCTGGCAGTCCGAGGGCTTCGGCAAGCGGCACACGCCCCAGACGAAGGCCATCTATTCGCCATCAGCTCTCTATATCCGGCTCTGACGACGATGCGCAGCTTGAAGAAGGCGTGGAGGAGTCCAACGGCACTGAAGGAGAACCTGTCGTCAACATCCAAAGCGATATTGTCATGCAAGACATTGGCAACGACGACGGCCTGATGGAGCCACAAGGCAACACCCTGACGCTCAACGTACCGGACGTTACGAGCACTGACGACGAGACTTTCAACATCACCCACCGGTCCACAGCAGACGGTAGCCTTGTCAACTCCACAACGCCTACTCAAGGACAGATGAACCTCCCAACACCACAACTTCCGCCTCCAGTGAATGCGGTCAATGCGACGCCTCCAAACCTCCAAGCTCCTGGCTGGTATCCCGCACGCGCCCTTGCTGATCGACCCGGTGCCCTTCTCGCAGCCATGCCGCGCGACGAGGACGTGTTGATGTCGCTGCAGCTGCTGGCGTACGTCTCAAAGTACTGCAACTTGCGATCGTACTTCCAGCAATCTCGGCTCGTCCCTCGGCTAAAGATTGGGAACGAGCTCAAGATGCTAGACCCCGACTACAATCCAGCGACCCACAAGTTGCCCACACAGGAAGAGCTTGATGAAGAATGGGATGACGAGTTTGTGAAGAAGCCAGGAGAGCAGCCGTTCAACATCTTCCCACTCATTGAGAAGTTCACCGCGAAGCCGTCGACGCGGCACGGCAACACAGCATCGCCACAGCAAGGCGATATGCAATACTGGGCCGGAGTGGTCATGCGCAATCTCTGCCGGAAAGATGATAGCCGTGGAGGCATCAGGCAATGTGCATACTGGCAGTGCGGGAAATGGGAAGAATACACCCGCCAGTTCGCCAAATGCCGACGATGCAGGCGGACAAAGTACTGCAGCAAGGAATGTCAAAAAGGTGCATGGGGAAGCCACCGCTTCTGGTGCGTTGCTGCTGAGGATGGCAGAGATGGAGAGGCTGGATCGAGCGAGAGACACCACCACCGACACCACCGGCACCATCACCACCACCATTGAGTGACTGGGTCGTTCCTTTTCTAATGTTTATACGAAGCGCAAAAAATGGGAGGAGGATTCTCTCAGACCATCATCACTTTAGGAAGCATAGCCAGCGGAGTTTCAAGCGTTCTGGAGCAACACAGGGCCCCGAATGAGATCGAAATAATCCATGGAATCGGATCAATCAACAATGAACGAATCCCAAGTCACGACTATTACCAACAACTGACACTACTTATGCATGCGATTGGGCGTTCCATCCTTCCCGAGAATATGATCATCGCGGGAAGAGACGACGCGGAAAACCGCTCCTATCACCATATGAAGGGAGCATGTTCTTCCATTATCAACGGCTGGGCAGGTTACCTTTTTGGAGACTTTTCTTGGAAAGGAACCACACGCGAGCACTTTTTATTTCAAGGGAATGGATAGGATAGCATTGGGTATGAAACGTTCTTCCTCGTCGGTAATGCTATCATGGGATCAGGACCAGAGATGGCATCAATGATGAATATGGTGTTGTGACGGAGCAGGAAAGGAAAGAAAGGTGTTGTTCATGTAGCATTCGCAATGCATCGTTTTCAGAATGTCTGCCGTTCCGTTCTCATAAGTCGTGTGGTATCGTGTGATGTCTTCTATCCTCTATCGGGTTTCGCCCATGCAGCACTGCTCGCTGACCCCACCAGCCTCTCATCAACACTTCACGATCCCTCCCCTTCCCCCCACCTACTCTCCCTATTCATACTCTCCGCCTCCTCCCCCATCCGTCTCATCCACCTCTCCACCAACTCCCCATTCTCCCTCTCCGCCCGTTCACGCTTCTCCTCGGAGAGATTCAACTGCAACTGCAACGCCACCATCTCATCCTGCGCATTCTCCACGAATTTCCTCTTCTGCCGCAGTTCCTCTTCCCGATCGCGGAGCCTTCGCTCGATGTCGGTCTTTTGTCGCGTGAGGGTCTGGAGTTGCGCGGTTGTTGTCGTGTGGGCTGCCTGGAGGGTTTGCAGGTCTTGGGTGAGCGTTGTGAGGTTTGTCTGCAGGGCGGAGCGGGATTTCTGGGTATTGACTAGGTCGGCGCGGAGGGTGGTGAGGAGGTCTGGTGTTGGGGAGGTGGTGGAGGTGGTGGTGGGTTGTTTGGGTGTTGTGGTAGAAGGTGGTGCGGGATGGAGAGAGGCGGATGCTGATGATCGGTCGGCTAGTCTTGTGTCTAGATATTTGAATCAGCGCAAGTTGGGAGTCCGTGGTGGGCGGGCGGGCGTACAAGCATCGATGTATTGCTTGTGGGCTTTTTCGCGTGCATCTCGGACGTCAAGCGCTAGGGAGTATTGCCCGAGGTAATCGGTCATTATGGCGGCTTTCTGAAAATCTCAAACTCCGGTATTGAGTTGGTTTGGAGGTCGAAGAGGCTTTTCATCGTGGTAGATCGGATGTAGATTGGAAGGAGTGAGGTGCGGACAGCTCTCGTTCACATGCGCGCCGGTCAGCCGGTCCGCTCGGGCCGCGAGGTCCGAGCCCTGCTCCGACAACCTTACCTTAGTCGAGGACCCCTGGGGAAGATTGAAACTTCCAACTCAGGACGACCCCTTCGCGTGTCTTCCTTTCTCATCTCTTCCAAGCTCTTTCGGGCACCAAGAGCCCTCTGCCACTGCGACAGGGCCAATATGTTAGCTTGGCGACAGGCAGTGAACAGGGCGAGCTGCCGACGCAGCCAGATCTGGCCACCATCATGGCGACTCCGAGTCAGCAGTTGCAGAGACGAGGCGGTCACGAATGTTTCGGATCGAAGCGTGCAATGCGTCGCTTATCTTCAATTTGGCTATCGAGCAATTCACCCTCCGTAAATTCTCCCACAAAGCTCCGGCGGCCCCTCCGTCGACACCGAAACGTGCTCTGAGCTCTCATCCTCAGCCACCACCTACGCCGCTGCACTTCCCTGCTGGCTCAGATGATGGTGTCCGTCCCATTGTGAGGGTCTCTCGTGGCGGCTCATCCTTCATGTTGTAGGAAGCCGTTCCACAACCAGAAACCGGCCATTCACTCTTCATATGAATTCAATCTTGGCAGCGATGGCTGGATCGCGGCCGAGCATGAGTGGACCATATAGCCCTTCTTCTCTTGCTAGCCAGTCCTTGTCTCAGCACGCGGCGGCGGCACATGTCCCGACCGCAGGACTTTTACCCGGCCATGTCCTTTGCAAAATCTCTCCAAGCTCACACCTAGCACTATGAAGATGGACATGACGAACGCTGCTACAGAGGACATGATGAGGGGGTTACTGTCGCAGATCATACGGATGAGGAGGTCAAGGCCGACCGGAATACGCTGAAGCAAGATACGTCCTGCGGAATAGGGAATCTTGAGATTAAAACAGCGGAAGAGACTAGGATAGAGCTTTGCAAACGCGCGCAGTAAAATGGTCTGGCTACCAACCTGGCTCAGTCGCAAGGAGCACTTGAAAGTGCATACACTGCGCGACCGATGATCGCCATTGTAAAGCCTAGCAGTTGACAATTGAAAGAGACCCGGATGTACTCCACTCCGACGCAAAATCTCGCGATCTATGAAGTCCAACAGGACGACGTATGGAGTAAAGACATAATCTTCACACACGAATATTTGAGACCGTAGTACTGGACAAAAATACCGCATTCATCACGATCCATCTCGGCGGGGATATGAGGAATGGCAATCGGATAGCGCTATAGCAACTAAGCTTTAGCAAAGAGCCCAGGCCTGATGATGGAGTTGGGCATGGGCTGAATCTTTTTCTGCCGTCAAATTCAATGCGAGAGATGAATTGAAGGAGAGTTCATCGATGGACGTGAAAGACGAGTTGATGAGACACGAAATGACATGAACTTTTCTCGTAGAAGATTGTACGGCGGAAGGGCCTTTTCTGGCCCTCGCCATCTACCTCGATATTGCTACGTTCTTGCCGGGTCGTCGCCAGAGCAGATTTTCCTCCTCCATAAAGTCGTCGTTGTCAAGATTGTCGCCGCCAAATTCGGCAGCAAGCAAGACGTTGCGGTACCCAGATTGATAGCAAGGGTCCGGCGCAAGATTAGGTGCCGTGACTTCTGCGCGACGAGCGGCGTAAGCCGAGACGTTGTAGTATTCTGTCTTGAGGTAAAGATTCCTCAGATACTCGGTCTACATCTGTAGCTACCATGGCTTCATCTAATTGTCGTAAAGACTATTGGTGTACGCAGGTTCCAGGAGCTCCTCGCGATCCTCGCGCTTTAGATGGACCCAGTCCTTTGCTAGACCGACATCTGGACGCGGGAACTCATGCTTGTAGATTTGGACGACGGTTTATCGAGCGTCGCTCACACGCCGCCACGACGAAGTCCGAGTGCAGGGAGCCGATTAGCCGCGAAACCTCGCGGATGGATCCGGATCGTTGTCCGGAGAAAGATGGAGCCTCTGGCATTTCTTTCCGCCGGCAAAGAAATTCGAGACAGATCTCCCATTGGCAATGTGCGCCTGCATCTTGACATATTGCGCATCTATTGAGGTGGTTGCAGCTACCCTTTCGGGTAATGCAGCGGACACAGTCGGAGAAGATTTCGAAAGCGACTTCGTAGGTTTTCTGCACTTGACGATAGACAACTTCCAGTGCAAGATAGTAGAAGCAGTGAGAGCTTAGGTAAGTCTTGTATAACGGCGTTGGCGGCTCGCTCAAGCGTGCATCGACCTGCTGGACGGTAGATTGTACCAGCACAACGCCGTTGTTTCTGGAATTGGCAGAAGATTGCACGGTTGAGGATTGACCGATTCAAGATTGACTGGATGATGATCGACGACCCGTCATAGGAGGAGTCGTCGCGGAGGCTGTCGGTCGATGCCGGCTTGGGCAAAGATTTTGCTTCATCTTTATTTGGCTTCCGGCTCTCCTGCCGTAGAGTATCGCCCTTATGAGCAGACGAAGCTTTGTGTCGATCAGAATGCTCTTCGTTGGTAGGTGAGAGAGGCGTCGGCGCAGATTTTGGAGGACATTGAGGTCCCGGTTCACTGGGAAGAGGCTTGGCCAGAGCCGAAGATTGAGGATTCGACTGCATGGGTAAGAGATCCGCGGCGAGCCGACAGATTGAAGTGAGCGTATTCATTCGAGTCAGTCCCTTCTTACAGGCGGACTGGCCATCGGGGTCGTCCGCTCAGGTTATCTCGCACAGATCGTCGTACTACGATTGCAAGGCAAGCCCCTGTTGCTGGCGCAAGATATATTCAGGGTCGACAGAGTATCCAGTCGTCGTTATGCAAAAGATTTGGCAGTGGTGGAGGAGCTTCGTAGCGAGGACGAAGCCGCTTATGCTTTCAGGAGCGGTGCCGCCTTGACTTCAGGCTACGGCCAAGGCGAAGTCGTCCACGGTACACGATTACGTGGTGCGCGGCCTCGTCGCGAGAGAGGGGCAGAGCATCGCTCAAGACTGTGCGTTTGAGTTTGGGTTGAGATGAAATTGCTGGATAGGGATCAGTGGATGTATGCAGCCTGGAATATGTGTCATGTTGCGGCACATATATATCAGAGCTGGAAAGTTGAACTGACCTTGCGAGAAGCAAAGTACCTAGGTCCTTGTGAGCTTGAAGCATTGAGATTCTCGAGAGTGGATGTGGAAGAGGAGAAAGTAGAGGAAGAGTGAAACGTGAGGTTGGGGCAGAAGATGCTAAGCGGAGGGCACCAAGACGTGAGCCTCTAGGATTGACTCCAGCACCCGTGCTTGGTTTCATCTCCTTCACTTCACAAATACTTCACAGTAATTTTGACATTGCCGTCTAAAACTTTCGACAGTCTTCGAGCCTACTGGAGCACTCGCGCTTTCGGCTGAGTGCGAGAAGAATAGAGCTGAGATTATCAGCACGGCCAAGATATTGGAGATCTTCCACAGTCTCAATGATAAAGGAAGGTACGACCACGCCGAAGCAGTGCAACACTACAAGCTTTGCAAGCTGTGCTTCTGGACACGCGATGTCGTGAAAGCAGTCGCTGCAAGCCTGCAGAAGGGGTTGCCAGTCGAAGCATTGGAAGCGCTTGTCAGTCTGACGTCAGTAGGGAGCCGAGACTCGTGATCGCCATTGAACCATCACAAACACAGCGATAATCTCCAAGGCTGCCCTGAGTCCGGAGGTAGATTCGTCAGGTCTTCCGAACCCTTACGCCGGTTGCTCGTGAAGGCGCCCTTAACAAGATCTACAATTCCCTCAAGAGGAAGTCCTCAGCCCCGTACCGAATATGTTCAAGGCTAGATACTGTGAAGGTACTGCAATGTAGAGCGTTGTAGTCCATCGTCCAGGTCTGGAATCTTGTAACCAATCGTCTTGGATAGCTAGGTTATTCATCGCCATGATGCAGTGTGTGCCGTCGCCGTAGACGAAATACCACGCGCAGCTGTTGTGTCCCAATGTATCGCGACCGAAGTCTTGCTCCGATCTTGGCACCTGCCTTGTCTGATATATGCCCTTGTGTAGATGTCGCAGCCTCTTTGTGTTCCCTTCCTCACGTCCGCACGATCTGAGGTGGCGGAGTTGAGATGGTTCTGGGAGTCCATAAGCGCCTGTGTGAGGTGAGCGAAGGCGGATGTATCGCTGTGGGTCCAAAATCCATGATTTGTAGCCGGTGGCGCTCCCAGTTTCGTCGTTGTAGCGCCCGTGGTAGTTGAGAGTCAAGGAGAGGTCTGACAGGTGAGGTGGGATGGTTTGTTGAAGCCTCAGGCGTGAAATGCGGCTAGTTCCGACGCTAGCAGAGAACACTATTTGTCGTTCGACATCGCCCACCTCTGCTTCTGACAAACCTGTCTCCACGGTGCTTCTGTACAGATGGGTCAAAAGGTATGCACATTTCAATGATCGCAGCATCATAACCCCCAAAACTCGAATGACGAATCCGACACGTCCGTATCCGGGTGGGCAGGTACACATATGAAAGTGTACTTCCATTACCTCCTACGACTCAATTGCTCGCAAGCGCACCTCGACCCCACCCGCCGGCGACATTGTGATACCATACAGGGCTGGAACCTCCTTCTCAGGGTGGCGCATGTCAATCTGGAAGTTGCCTACCAGAGCAGCAAGAAAGACCAGAAACTCCGCTCTTGCGAAGCCCTGCCCGATGCAAGATCTTGGCCCATGCGAGAAAGAAGCAAAGGCGAAGTTATCCATGTCCTCCGACTTCATCCATCGCTCGGGCTTGAACTCGAGCGCATCAGGTCCCCACTCTTCCGGCATCCGATTGATCACCCATCCTGACGACACCATGTGACTGCCTTCCGGGATGAAGTAGCCTTGCACGCTTCCATCCCGCAGAGCTTCCCGTCGAGTGACCGGGACGGAAGGATAGAGCCGCAGAATCTCGTTCGCGACGGCGTGTAGATACTCCAGGCCCTTTCCCGTGGGCTCGTCGCTCTTCCCCGCATCATCTTCCGGCCGAATGGGCAGGTCGCTGGCAAGAACCTCCTCTCGAAGTCGTCTCTGAACATCCTGATGTCGACCTAAAACGTAGCACGCCCAGGCGAGCGAAACACTGCTGGTATCGTGACCCGCCGCCAGAATCGTCATCATCTGGTTCACCAGCGCATCTTCATCGCGCACTCCTCCCTTGATCAGCAGACTCAATATGTCCCTGCTGTCATCATCCTTGACCTCCAGTCTTTCGCGAACTGCAGCTTCGCATCGCACTCGTACAGTCTGCAGCGCATCTTTCAATCTTCTATTATAGGCGCACGGTATCTGCATGGCGTATTTCATGGGTACTGCGAGCGCGAGTGCGTTGACGAACTGCCCGCCTCCGGATATGTCAAACATGCCGCCGTACGACTTGAGAAAGGCGGATTCGGGATGGGTGATCGCATCGAAGTCTTTGCCCCAGGCTGCCACTCCAATGATATCTAGAGCCGAGCGAGATGTCCAGGAGGTGATTTCAACGACAGACTGCTTCGGGACTTGGACGTGCTCCCGGAGAGCTGAAACGAGTTCTTGGCCCTTGCGCCAAAAAAGAGGATAAAGGTCTTTGACTGCTCGCGGACCGAATGCGGGAAGAAGCATGCGTTTCTGAGCCTAATTAGAGATGTCAGTAACGTGCTCATGTCCCATCGCAGATGACTCACTTTGTGGACATCTCCACCACTTGCAATAAGACCTGTTCCTGCCTGCACAGCGATTCTCTTTCTGGCGATCAAAGGTCGATCAAAGTGGGAATACTGCTGTGCAACAAGTACCTCTCTCATTGCCTTTGGACCGCAAATCAAGATTCTCTCGCCGCCACCAATCCCTCGATATCTCATGAGGCCTTGGAAGCCGGGTCGTTCCTTCACGACCTTCACCCATTCTAGCAACTGCGGCGGTGAAGGCTCGGCGGCCAGCCATGTTTTCCAATGATTCAACTCTGTTGGAACAGTGGGTATGTGCCGAAGAGGACTCAGAAGGCGTTGATAGATGAATACATTGAAGGGAAAGACGAGCAATAGGAAGCTCCAGATGTACAATGTCACAGCCAATACAATCCGGACTGAGAGTAATGCCAATGCGTGAGGCACGACCCTCTGTACAAACAGGTAGCACAGGAGCAAATGCAACGGTGATTGGAGCGACGCCAGCTTCATGGTTGTACCCATCGAAATACAGCAAAGACGAACAGCTCACGACGGCGATGAGACAGACAAAATCTGGTCCTAATGTCTTGGCTTCAAGAACGAGAATGACGATCTGAGGCATCGCCTTCATGCAAGCGGCGAGACGGCTGGTCAAGCTTCCATCCATCAAAACTAACTTTGAGGTACACCAAAGACCCACAACCCGGTACCGAACGATCGTCGGGATACCTTTCCGAAACTGTGGTACCACCCTATCGACGATGTTGTCATTTCTGCAACTCACGGTACTGGCCGGGACCTGTCATCTTGGATTGGAAGAGGTCTTTGCCAAACCATTGTGCCAACAGAGACTCCGGACTTGAAGCATTGCAAGAATGACTGCCATACGAGATCGAAACGTTCTCATCACTGGAGGTGCATCAGGCCTTGGGTTGGGCTTTGCCCACGCATTGGCATCGCTAGGAGCGAGAATCATCATTGCTGATTCGAGCGTGGAGAATGGACAAGCTGCCGAGCGACAACTCAAAGACCAAAATCACAAGTGAGAAAGACCAACGAAAAACGAAGACATGTCAATACCAACGCTTCTCGCAGAGCAACATTCGTCAACGTGGATGTCACTTCAGCGGCTTCTGTAGCATCCATGATCAAGGCCGCACTGGCGTGGGTACCTGGAGGTGAAGCAATCGATGCTGCAATCCTGAGTGCTGGAGTCAACGGCAATCCATTTGATCTCTCCCCGGAGGATCCTTCTGCTCTATCCACACCCGAAGCATGGCAAGCGGTGGAGCGAAACGCGAAGACGTTGAATGTCAATTTGACAGCAGTCTTGCAGTGCGTCCAACTCGTTGTCAAGTACGGTATGGGCTTGCCCACATCGCAATCTCAGTCAGCACCAACTTCTGCCAAAGCGAGTGTCAAGTCGATCACTTTGATCGGATCGCTTGCCTCCTACCGCGCCCTTCCTCGGGCCGTGGACTATAGCGCCTCCAAATGGGGCGTCAGAGGAGCTTTCCGTTCACTTCGACAACAACTTCCAAAGATTGGAGTTCGAATCAACATGATCGCACCTGGGTTCGTCAAAACACCTTTGCTCGCTCACACGATCCCAATGTACGAGCAGATTGGTGTTCATTTTGTCGAGGAAGCCGATGTGGTGGAGGCGACGGTGAAGGTGGTGAGTGATGTCACTTGTTCTGGCAGAGCGTTCGCGGTAGGCTCCCAAGGAGCCCTGGAGCTTCATGACGAGGCGGGCGGCATGGACGCCTCCACTGCTGTCAATGAGTTACTGGAGAAGGGTGTGTTTGGCACACCAAGCTGTCCAATGGGACGGGATGAGCAGACCGTTCATTTCCAATAGTATGATATCGATATACTTGCATCACGCTCGAATTAGAAAATTGGCCAGCATTTTGCGCAACGACTGTCCCGAGCCCATGCTCTTGACAACCACCCAGCGTCGGATCAGGATATATACCAACCACGTTCCGAAGCACATCCCGAAAGCTCTCTTCATACAGTACATGAACGTCTGCGCCAAATCAGACTCAGCTCGCTTCAGCGCCGCATCAGTAGTATTCCCATGCGGGAATTCAACACCAGGATGCGGCACCTCGAGGAATTGCACCAACGGATCCCAGCCGTCTTTGACGTTGTACTCTAGCAGTCGCTCCGGTGGCACTAATGAACGTACAAGCTCATAGTGCTCATTCCACACTTGCCTCGCATTAGCCTGGAAATTTCCCTTGAACAAAATCCTCCAAGTCTTGAGCAAAGTCGGTCTCGTCCAGCGATCATACCGCTTGAACAGCGTCACAAGAGGCTGCATGACTCCGAAATTGATCGGATGAGCCAGAGCAACATCCAAGCTCTCACTACAACTCTTGAACCACGTGTCGAAATTGCGATGCGTCAGAATGACTTTGGCATCCGGGTACGCTTCGATGAGTTCCTTGCTGAAGAGAATCGCTGGTATGTCGGACACGGCTTGACAGTGACCGAGTAATTTGTCGAATTCCTCACGACCGTACGGTTTGCCCTTGCCGTCGAATTTCGCCTCTAGGGCTTCAGACCACATCTCCATGTCTCGCGGGTTGGCGAAGATGGGATCCCAGCCATGGTAGCATTCATGAATGCCGAGGAGTTGGAGGGCTGTTGATGTTGCTGTTGGAGGCGCATTCTCAGTGTCTTGATTTCGCATCCACCCAATGTTTGAATCATACATTCGGTACCTGTCCGTCCGAGTCCAAGTTGGAGGACTTTCATCGGAACGATGCGTTTGCCATATTTCTTTCGATCAATGTTCGTTTGCACTCGAACATAGTCTCCGGTGTGTCGTGGCTCAGCCATTGTTGCCTGTCGTGGTACGCAACTCTGGTCTGGACAATGGAAAAATCATTCAAGAACGACACTTGCTCTACCGCAGCAGTCGCGAACGCACTTGCCATTGATCGACAAGGGACGAGCTTCTCTCCGCATGTTCGGATGGACTCCGCATGGTGGATCTGCGATCATGACGGGGGTCTCATCTGCGGCTGTCCAGGCCCTGATCCGGTTCACCGACGCGCTATGAACGCATCAATGCACGTGCTAGTGGCTCAAGCCAAAGTTCGATCTAACGATCATCGTAAGCTCTGTAGTTACCCGAAGAAGGAAAGCTGGAAACACGCGTCGAACGATGAGCTGTCATGGCTGTAGCTGCAGAGTATAGCGTATGCGGCGCACGATCGGCAAGCTGATTGGTACCTGTCAAAGGGATTGTAAAATCGCCGGTTGGCTGTGGTTTGCCGTCACCAAAACCACACACGATCATGCGGTTCAGCGGCGGCAATAATGCGGTAAGAAGCTGCAAAGCCTAAAGCCACTTGGATGGCAAGTCGAAACGCTTACCATTCTAGGCTCTGTCGATGAAGTGACCCTGCAATCGGATTTTCAGTGCAAACATCGAATCGAAACAATCCCCATTGCCAGACTCCGTCTTGAGACTCGAAACATCTGCCTCAACGCTTCAAGAAATCGATATTCCCACCGCGAAAACGCCAACTCCTAATCATCGAATTCAAGATGCAGTCCCCTGGGGAACCACGACAGCGAAGCCAGCCCACTACTTCAATCATTGCGCAAGAACAACAAAACGCGGCCCAGTCGTTAACCCAAAGGCTGGATTTACTACAGCGTATGCCATCGACAGTCGAGAAGCAAGATGATACTCAAGCCGTGAGAGTGGAGAATTGTGTTGGCTTCGCACAAACACCGCTTGGTTTAGCAGGACCGTTGACGATCAATGGTCAAAATCAGCATGGTAAGAAAGAACTCTCTGTTTCAAATCCAGCTTCCGGTGAGTTGATGAACATTTTCCAGGCACATTTCATGCTCCTCTGGCAACGCTTGAGGCAACACTCGTCGCCAGCTGCTCTCGAGGCTGCAAAACGCTACAACAAAATGGCGGAGTCTCAGCAGCCGTTCTCGAAGAGGGCATGTCTCGAGCACCAATCTTTCGTTTCAAAGACGTCCCCGACGCCCTCGCCTTCTACCAAGCCTTTCCTCGCTTTCACGATGAATTGAAACGCAACGCCGAGGCCACCAGCAAGAGAGTAGCCCTGGTATCCATCACACCCCATCTCATCGGAGCATGCGTGCACGTACGATTCGCCTACACATGCGGAGCGGCTGCCGGACAAAACATGACGACCATCGCCACCCACGCCGCCTGCAACAAGTTCCTAAAGGAACATAAAGCCGAGTTCAAAATTGAAGGATTCATGATCGAAGGGCAGATGGCATCCGACAAGAAGCTATCCTGGGGAAATGTCAGCAATCCAAGAGGAGTCCGCACAGTAGCATGGGCAGAACTATCCGATCAAGCCTGTCGAGAAGTGTTGGGGAACGCTGCATCGAACATCTTCGGCACCTACCTCCACGGCGTCCAAGCAGGCATTCGAAACGGAATGGCAGGGTACAATATCAACGTCGCCAACATCCTCGCTGCAATCTTCATCGCTACAGGTCAAGACGCAGCAAGTGTTCTGGAGGCAGGCTGGGCACAACTCACAATGGAATTCAACGACAAGACTGGAGTACTTACCGTTTTCGTCTTCTTTCCTTCCCTGCCGGTAGGATCTGTTGGAGGCGGGACTGGGTTGAACACACAGCGAGAAGCACTAGAGCTGATCAATTGTTACGGCGAGGGGAAGAAATGGCGGCTGGCGGAGACGGTGGCAGCCTTTGCGTTGGCTTTGGAGATCAGTACCCTCGGCGCCATTGCCAACGATACGTTCTCGCAGAGCCATCATCGCTTGGCACGGTTGTGAAGGCTTTGGTAGAGTGCACAAATTATCGAATAGAATTTTGCAGATCTCGGAGGCTCCCCGTCTGTCGATCTCTAGATTCACGGGCCGCCTTATTGTTCTTCGTGGCTGTGGAACGCGTTCGCGCCGTCAAATTCAACAACATCCAAGCAACCAATGAACTTCTGACGCGTTGCAAGCCGGTGGGAGACGTCAGAAGCCCTATAACATTGATCGGTGGACTACGTAACAGGCGTTTAGCCCCGAGTCCATCCAGTAAGACCCTTCTTGGGGTGCGCGAATCAGAATGACTGCCACATTCGCTTGGTGAGGTAGCTGGCGTTGAGATGTTGTCTTGAATGAACCGTGCGAGCTCTTCCCGATCTCAACTGTAGAGGCAGATTCTTTGACGGCGCCGGGTGAACAGCGGATAGTTCCAGTATTGATCCAGTCGTTCCGGCCTCCTCAAAGACACTCTTTCCGAAATCGATGCTCGGAACTTGGGCTTGTTCAATATGAAGGATATCGAGAAGCAGCAACAAGGGCCATTGAACGATTCAACGTCGGAGTCGAAGGAATCTCCTCACAGGCCAGAAGATGCCGGCCTCGCAGACGAATCGAAGGACAATGTCGACGAAAAGGGATCACAGCCTCCTCCAGCTCCTGCAGGCGGCCGCAGCAGGACACAAATTATCCTCCTCATGTCCTCTCTTGGAGTAGCCGTATTTCTCGCAGCCGTCGACCAAGTCATAGTAGCGACCGCACTCCCAGCGATAGCGGACAGCCTAGGAGCATCCTCCTCAACATACGCCTGGATAGCATCATCATATCTGATCGCAAACGCATCTTCCATCCCCATCTGGGGAAGGATATCCGACATATTCGGCAGAAAACCGTCCATTCTGAGTGCGAATGTGATCTTCATGGTTGGGAGCCTGATATCCGCACTGGCGCACGATCTGACTACGTTGATTGCCGGAAGGGCAGTACAGGGTGCGTCTTGGGGATGGAGACATGGAATCTTGTACTAACAGCTGCCAGGTCTGGGAGGCGGAGGCCTGTTGGTGCTGGCAAACATCTGCATTAGTGACATCTTCAGCTTGCGGTATGAACTCGAACTGCTCTGCATGTTTAATGGTAGCTGACCTGAACTAGCGAGCGAGGCTTCTACCTGTCCATAGTCGGCGGCGTCTGGGCAATTGCATCGTCTATTGGTCCTCTGCTCGGCGGCGCGTTTGCTGAGTATGTGACCTGGCGTTGGTGCTTCTGGATCAATCTACCCATCGACGCGGTATCCCTCGTCGGGCTCTTCTTCTTCCTCGATGTACACAATCCAAGAACTCCAATCCTCGACGGCATCAAGGCAATCGACTGGCTCGGCGCACTCACTTCTACTGGCGGCACTATCATGTTCCTTCTGGGACTCGATTTCGGCGGCAGCGTATACCCCTGGCGATCAGCACCGGTCATCTGTCTCATCGTATTCGGAGTCGTGACATGGGCTTTATTCGTGCTAATCCAATGGAAAGTTGCAAGTTTCCCATTGAGTCCGCTCCGGATATTCCAATCCCGCAGCACGGCAGCGATCATGATCTTGTGCTTCTTCCACGCCGTGGCGTTCATCAGCGCGGTATTCTACCTACCACTGTACTTTCAGGCCGTGCTCGGGGCAAGTCCATTCTTCAGCGGCGTCTGGATACTCGCACTCGCACTACCACTTGCTGTAGCAAGTGTGGTATCTGGAATGGTGATCCTTAAGACCGGCCACTATCTCGGCCCCATCATCGGAGGAATGGTCTTTTTGACGCTGGGTGTGGGCCTGTTCATCGACTTTCCCGATTATCGTTCCTGGCCGCGCATTATTATCTACCAGATCATCGCAAGTCTCGGGATGGGTCCGGTGTTTCAAGCGCCAATCGTGGCTCTGCAGACCAAACTACAACCCAAAGACATTGCAGCAGGAACGTCGGCTTTCCAGTTCCTTCGACAGCTCTCGTCGGGCATTGGCGTTGTCATTGGTCAAGTCATCCTCACGTCTCAGGTCCGGCAGAAGGCGTCTCTCTTCACCGGATCAGGAATACCGGCTTCGATCGCATCGCAATTACAGTCTGGGAGTCTCGTTACCGCGATTCGGTTGCGACCGGAATTGAACAATGCCGGAGAGCTGGATGCCGTGAAGATGGCGTACACGGAGAGCCTGAGCACCATGTGGATCTTCTTCACATGCGCCTCGGCTTGCGGATTGGTTGCGTCGCTGTTCATTGGCCAGCAGGTGTTGACCAAGAAGCATCAGGAGTTCAAGACGGGGTTGCAGACCCAGAAGACCTAGCCACCAAATTCCTGTCAATTACTGGAGATATCAGTGTTGTATTGCATCTACGATTACGCTACGTACCAGTGCGAAGCAGGCCGAGAGACGGAACCTGCAACGGAAGAGTTCGAGTCTGGCCGGGAGCATGTCGTGCTATATCATATAAGGCGGTCGTTGCGGCTGCATGTGAAGTTCGGACAGTGGCGAGCCGCAGATCTCAGTAGGAGTTCTGGCTTATGAATGGGCCACGAGGAGTAGAGTGGCGAGATGAAGGATTGGATCCAAGACGCCACTGGAGTGCAAGAAGGAATGGCGGAATCCTTCGAGTTGATACCCTAAGAAGATTGATCTATCTTGAGCTCTTGTTTGGAGGGATGTATACTCCAGCTCGGGCGCAGGATCCATGGCCAACACTAGGGCGTTTGAGCTGGAGTCTAGGGAGGTCTGGACACTTGGCTTGAATACCGGGATCTTTATCGCTGTCGTTGGCGAAGACAAAGATCACGGACCGATAGATGCGGTCCGCGTCTCTGTTAAGATTGATTGGAAGCTCGAGTGTCGTGTACACAGTGTTAGTAGTCGGTATGCGACGACGAAAGACTTCCGTGCCAAGACCCAATTTGATGCCTTAGGCATCTCAAACATAACCTCACCTCCTTACTAGAATTCACTCTAATAACGTCGTCCTGTTCTAACTCTTCTAAATTTTCGAGTCTCTTTATTAAAGTAGAACTTTAAAGAAATCTTATATATTACTATCTATTATGAAATAGTAGCTTAGGAGGAAAGTAGGAGTAGGCCTAGTAGTAAGCTAAGTGGTCACGTGACC